TTTCGTATACTGTTTTGTGGCAATGAATTTCTGAATATTGCCTTACATTATTGAGATTTTCCTAAACCATAAATAAAGAGTCCCGAGTGAAGTGTTTCAGGGCATTTATAGAATAATCTGTTTCTCAACTGTTCGAATACTTCCATAAGCAACTATATCTATGGAAAATAAACGTTTATCTAGTCAAATTATTTAGCTATTCCACGAAATGATGGCATCTTTCAGCGTTGTCAGAAAAAATGTTTTTGCGTACGCGTTTCTTAATCAGCGACGATTGTCGGGCGTGCGTGAAATGTGCGTGCCAGTGGCATTAAAGAGTGCGATATGAAATTAGATCGCGGTCGTTAGGCGATCCTCGTCGCTCGCTGCGCTTCACCAGCCATCGTCATTCGAGTCGTTAATTCCATCGTTTACTTAGCGAGGTGCAACGAGTGCACTAGCGCACGATGTTTAAGCGCGATTGTTTATGGCGGTCAGAGCTCGTGGAAACGATCGTTCTCTCGACCACTTCCGACTCGTGCGCTTGGTAAATTCTCTGTCCCGCTTCTATGCTCTACGAGAGAAGATACGGTTTATCGCTTCCTCTATTAACCCGATTTAATGGTGCGCCTCGCAAATCATACGCTGATATCACGATATCAGACTCTCTTCTCCGTGTCTTCGGCGAGGAAGCTGGACCTCTTGTGAAATATCGAGACTTTAGTAGCTCTAGAATGTACGTATGTATTGATACTTGATACGTGTGATTTCATTTACAATTAGTTACAATTTATCAGATACAATTTACAATCAGTCATAGATGAGATTCTGAATTCTGTTCTATAGCTTGCTAATTTGGTGAACCATCTCTAAATTTTTAATAGAAAGACTTACTCTTTGCTTTTGCTATTGGGTGATAGATAAATGTGATATATGTTCAAATTTCATTGCGTGGAGAAAAGTAAGTGAGAAATCTGCACATTCGTATGCGATACAGCATTTTATTTATGTAATGTCACCGGAGAAAGAATAGTTCGTCGCTATCTCTGATTCCTCATTCGGATAATAGGAGTTTAGGATCTCGTAAATGGATTCAACTGGCGCCTGTTACCGAATCTTCGAACTTTTCCTAAAATTGAAGGATAAAGTCTTAATTCGATTATCAAGGAGGCACTGTAGAGATCTCGAAAATTGTAATATTGTTTCAGCCGTTTTACAACAAAATTTTCGTACGATTTTCCAAGATTAATTTAGAACTGTATATGGGAAATGACACAGCGTTAGTTTCTATCGATTCGATATCCTAGCAGAAGGGTATAGATCAAGTTAATCGTCGTGGTAAGCACGTAGAGATCTACGACAGAACACTTAACACGTGCACGAGCTGCAGCTGCGACTGCAGACTGTCCAAAGGATAGCTGGTGTTGCCGTCGGCCAATAGCCGCTCACGATTCGCGTGGATTTATTGCGCCAAATGATACGTCCACGCAACGATTACGTTTCTGCTCGTCGTCTGTTATTGCGACTCAGCTCTCACCGTTTCCTTTTGCATCCGCGTGCATCGTGGCGAGAACACGACGATCAGAGCCAAGGACGTGGATCGATCGAGCGAAACTTTATTGTGTCTCGATTCTTATCGAACGATGTTGAATGCACTCGGCTCACAATCAGACAACGACGATGGTCGTGCATCAATTGTTTTTTGGCTCGAAACGCGAACGCTTTTAGCCACGGGACGTTTTAAACGCGATTCGTGCCCGCGTGTATGATCGAAGAGTTATGAGCGATATATATTACTATATATTGCCACGTGGTGTCAATAATATTTTCACGAAGTACCGACTGATACAAAAAGAACGACGTTGATTTATACCGTGTATCGCGTACATAAAAATATTTGAATCCTTACTATAGCAAACTTTTATATTGTACGTATTATATAAAATATATTTAAATGTAATTAACATTGTAATGAAGCACAACTATCGTGATTATATTGGCAAAATTTGAAAGCAGTTTGAAAAATCTACAATGTGTTTAACAATATATCTAATAACTTGACAAGAACAATTTGCTATTCATGACATATAGTATCCTATTCAGAAAATTAGAATTTCTGTATATGTTGCTAATTCGATGGCCTGCGGCCATAGAAGCTGCGCATAGCAACTTCGAAGAAGATGGTATCCTCAGGCGACGTGGGTAACGACCAGTTCCATCGAACCACTCGAAAACCCTAAATCTACCCTTAGGACAGGCTTCTTCGAAACAATCCTGGGTGGTCTGTCCCTTAGGTGGAAATCGATTGATGCATAAAAACATTAGTAGTACTACAAGGTAGTTTCCTCGAATCTTACTAAAAATTCATTAAATTTTATCTCAGATATGAACTATACATATATTATAACAAGCAGCTCGTAGAAGCTTTCTTTGATAAATGTTCAAATACTTTTTTCCAGCCACTGTAGTGTACGTAGTCAAACTCGAACAAAAACAAAAAGATTGATCAGTAACGTATAGAACTTCAAAGTTGTTGCTCCCCTTGTGAAACATAAAAAATACGAATTCCTCCATTTTCCCTTGGTGATCTTCATATTTATACCGTAGCCGAAGTTGAGGATAAAGGTATCAGTATCGTCGCAGCTTCTACTCGACTCTTATCTCTGCTTCGCAAATATTCACCCCAATGATTTACCGCGTCGTTTCGTTTTCGTATTGGAGCTCAACGTGGCCGGCGCCATTTAGATTCTCCGCTCGTCCAAGCGGTGAAAGAGCCTTCGCAATAATCCTCTGATCTCGATCAAGAGCAACAGGCTGGTCGTTCGCGGCGTGTTTCGCGTTTGCGCGCGGGTGTTAAATGCGTTCCATCTGTTGGTCAAAGGTAGATTAGACGGTACCGACGAAGTGGCTGGTTTCTTCCCCCTTCGCGAACAGAATCGCCAAGAAACGAATAAATATGATTTATGCTCTCGAGAGATACGTCGCCGAGATAAAGCGGGTACGGATTGAATTCAAATGACATCTTGCTAGTAGAGATTCGAAGAGGATCTACCTGGTGTCCTTCGCCGAATGATCTTGATGGATATTGGTACGGTGACGTGGGTCGTTTGGTTCGTCGCTTGAAATCGAGAGCAAGGAGAGAGAAAATGGATCGTGAGATTGAATGTTGTAAAATCTCAAAGATAGTTACATGAAAACTTGTGAACGTCGTACATTTACTATTTCAAAAAGGAATTCTTATTTTTCTCTCTCAATTTAAAACATTTAGTCATTATTTCGTAACAATGTTCATTATGTGATTTTATTTGTAAAATAAAACACACGAGGAATTTCGAGGATGTATTTCAGTACATCTGGAAAAATAAGAGATATATTTGGTAGGATCTTTTAAGCGAGAAGAGCAGAAACTTCTCAGATACTTTTAAAATTAATTTTTAAGCTTGCTGGGATTTTTGGCTTTTTATATCTCAAAATTTATATCATTCACTTTATCAAACAAAGTAGATTTCTCTTAGGAAAATACAATTGGATAAGAAACGATGAAAGCATCAGGATGATAATGACAATCTAAGAAGTTTTATAACTTCGTCAAATAGTTAAGAACGCTGTTCATATTTCTCGCTATAAAGGAAGGGAATAAACTCTAGTAAAACTTATATACCATACGCGAATGTCCACTAGAATCCTCACACAGGCGGAAACCATCGCATCGGCGAGACCACGTACTCCAAGCTAATGGCGTATCCATAAGTGTCGGCGTGTCCTAAAGCCTCTCTAGAAGAGCACTCTGAAACAGCACTCTAAAAGCTAGTCTGTTTCCCCCCTTTTATTCATCTTCGATTCCAGTTTTTAGTATCGTGGAATTCAGAGACCACGAGAGATCGATCTTCTGGAAACAAAAACATACACGCGTATCGTTTTCTTTGCGCCATTCGATTCACTTGGAGATCGTAAAAATACCATCGTCTATCGATTATCTCCAACTATTCCCACGAGAAAAACTTTCACCGTAGATGACAGTCTACCGGACGCTTTGCTGTTTCTGTTTGAACCCGCCTGTTAGAATTTCGATCACGAACATACCGGAAGATATATTTTCGCTGTGCCGGATTCTCCGTGTAGAAAGAAGGTTCTTGGGACCGCGTATGTCCCTTAAGATGACTGTCGCGTTACGTGACAAGGATTTCTGGAAATCCAGTACGAAAGCCGCGATTGCACGCGTCACGCGAATTTCTCGGTTTAGATGGACTGAAGCGTGAACTTCGACTTTCCTCGCGCTCGATCCCGCGGATAACCGACCGCGACAGATACTACGTTAACCGTGAGCACGCGAATTACTGTAGCGTGACACAAGCGACGAGGATTAGCGTTAAATTGGCGCGACGTACCGGAAGAGAGAAGAAGAGGATAGCATAAATTCGAAGTTGCTCGGTTCTTAACCTCTCGCTCGCAATTAGTCTCTGCCAGTTTCATCGGTCAACGATTTACAGTCGATTGTTCCCTCTTAACGAGCGCTCTTTGTTCCTCGGCGTCTGTAGGAAATTACGCGAATAACTTGATTAGCGCTAATTTCGGAAAAACGAAAGAGACATCGAAACGTTAAATTAGAAATAGCCTTAACAATTCGCACTTTGGTAATTAGACTCGGTTAAGATTAACCTTCGTTTCCTTTAAGAGGGCGAAACAGCTGAAGTTTGCGAATTTATCTCATAAATAATTATAAAGCGAAGAATTTAGATGTTCTTCAGATGATAGTAACGCATTTACTATTCGCTGTAACTAATATTCCTTCTATTAGAACATTCTTATTCGTCCATCACATTCAATGACATTTGAAATAAATATTTGAATTAAACGCTTGAAGCGAAAAGTACTTTTTTGATACTGCCAAGGTAGCATACATCCTTAACGTATTGCTTGCAGAAGTACATTTTCCTCAGCTTCACTAGCAGCTCGTTCTCGCGTGTTTGACGCAGTGCAGCCTATATGAAATTTAATCTGATCGCGGAATTTTTGTTCAGAAGGACGGGAAACACCATTATCACCGCCACCACCTTCGAGTTCCTCAGTTCAGACATCGCCTCGCGGATTGGGTTACACCTGCGGTCCCATAGATGGATCTCTGTACGCTGTGGTACACCAGGGTGCTGCCGGTGGTGCCCGTGGCTCACCATTGACAGTTTCCATGGACAGTGGCATCAGCAGTGCTCCACCACAACGACCTAGTCCACCGGAACCAGAGCCGGATAACCAGGCTCATGGTGATCTTGATAAGCTTCTCCATGATATGATGCTTACTGTTGAGGTACGTCTATCCTTCTTTTAAACTTATATCATTGCGAAATTAAAAATTTATCGAAGATATACGAAACAAGTAAGATTCTCGGAAGACAAATTGATCGATTGCAATTTTTGTTCATTTCCAAATTCCGTTATCCAAGCATATGACTAGTGGTCAACTTGTCAAGTTGTTGAGAAAAGAACATTTGTATTCACAAATTTATTTATCGTAAGAAGGTAATTTAAATAGTCGTAAAGTTCGAGGTAGAATTTAGAAAGTAACGTTTGTAACATAGACGTCTTTTTCTACGTTTCTGACGTATGGAGTTGCCAAATGTGATTTCTAAATAACTCGTTTTTAATTCTCTACGACCTAAATTTTATTTACCTATGAGAGAGAAAGAAAATCTAAGAACTAAGATTTCTTAGGAATTAGGAACATATACACAATCCTAAGTTACGCAAAGTTATGGAAAGTTAAATAATCGGTCAATATTGATCTTAAGAAGTCTTCTACGCCTAGATCAAACACTCTTTAACAGGGCAACAATGATAGTTTCAGTAAAAAATGATTTCTATCTTTCGAATACAGTCGATGCCAGATCCTCCGTCAGATGAGTATAGAACAGACAGAAGCGAGAAGATGTACATTCAGGAAACCCGCAGCTACAGCAGCCACACAAGCAGTCATTCCCCATCGACTTATTCCACGTTGAAAGATTCGTACAGGAACTATAGCACCGCGAAAGAATCCAGTCCGCCATATAACTCGAGCAGCAGTTACAGCACTCTGAAGAACGAGTACCGAGAACCAGCAAAAATTGAACATCGAAGGGAGGAATTCGAATATCGTATGTCACCTGATCGAAAAATTACTGATACCTCCACGGACACGTACAGAAAACACGCGGACTCGTTTTCACCACCTGGAAATATCGATTATATCGACGAAGACATCCCCTATCACGCGAGACAGACGAGTCAACCATTCTCGTACGGTGCCACGTCGGACATGATTAAACATCAAAAACTATCGTCGCCTTCTTTGGTCAGAAAGGCGTCTGTGCGAGGTACGGCGCCTGTGGTGGATTTCGAAGATATCTTAGGAGAGAATTCGAGGAGACCTCTCAGCCCTTTGAGTCCAAACACGCCGGACCCTCCGCCAGAATTCGCCAACGGTCCCGCGAAGAGCAGTTCGGATCACGTGGATGGGTGAGTGATATTCTGCATTCCCTTTTTCTATGTCAATTTGTCGCCTGAGTAATAGGGCTTTTTTCAATTGATAAACTTGAAGCTTCCACTCCTTTCTATACTTACGTTTGTGCGTAAATTAAAATATTGCGGAGAAAGATCTCATTCAAGGTTGTTCGGAATTTTGTGTGGCCGTCTATTTATGAGTCGGGCGGGTCCTATCTCTTCTTTAGGAAATTCCGAATTACATGTCAATTTGCATGAGGTTAGGTAAAAACCCTGGAAAAAACCCAGCCAGGAAGGCACGATGGAAAGACGAGATCCAACGGCTGGTGGGAATAATCAGCAATATACTAGGACAGTTTCACAGCATCGCTAGCATCGCTAGATTTCGCTAGCATCATTAGACGTCGTACTGTGCGGATGAAATACTTCACTTCCAACAAGTTCTTACCACCGCCGTGTTCATAACATCACACTTTACTTTTATACAGCAAATACAGTGCTAGATTACTCTAACATTCGATCTATTGAATCTTCTCCACCTTGAGCGTTAAGTCATTCGAGGTACGCGATATCGACCGATCGGTTTGACCTGACCGGTTGCTCTTTAGTCGATAATTCGCAACAAAGATTGTTATGGGGAACCATCTAATATGAACTCGAAGCACTAACTCTCCTTCATAAGTTAGAATATCATGTAGAGAGATCTTATTCATGGTAGAAAAGCATCGAATCGATTCGCAAGAAATTACCATCTCTGATAAAGTCGACGCTTTCGTGATTTATGAATTCAAATATTATGTAGAAAAATCTCACGCGAAGGTATTTATGGGAATTTTTCCGATTCCAATCTTCTCGACAAACCGCTTTTGGTCCACAAAAAACTACCATTTCCAACAAACTCGAAGCTTCCATCCTCTCTCTCTATATATATAAATATATATATATATATATATATTCTCTCCAACTCAGAGTGATTACAGGGTGCGTTTTCCTGGCAGTGTTCCCAGCGAGCAACGTTAATATCGAACAGCCTCGGCTGCGTGTAACAAATCCCATAATTAAATGCCGGGTCCGTCTCTAATAATACGACGCGGGTTGAAACGCTTTTCGCTCGCACCGTGTTTCGACACGCTCGATGAATATCGTGAAACGAGATGGAGATTAGGAAGTTTTCACGGAATCTGCCTTGGACATCTCGAAGAACAAGTGGGCCATTCCCCTGGCAGAGCTTTCAGACGGCCAACAACGATCGCCTACAAGAAATGTCGCAACTCGTCCTCCGAATCGGGCGCCGCAGAAGAGTGTCACGAAGCTCGAAAGAGAGCCGGTAGAGAAACGAGGATAGAAGCCGTCGCTGGGACAATTAATAAATTGTCTACCCATAGGCGGACGCGATTGCAACGCACTACGGTCGCCGTATTTCTGCCAGGAATGGAGAACGCGGTCGTCGTGAGTCATTGTCGCTTGCCAGGGCAAATGGAAAGAGAAAAGTCAGTAGATACGAACGGTGCTGGGACAGACGCGTCGTATCGCGTTATGAAATACGAGTTTCGCGGTTGGAGGGTGGATAGTACGAGCTATGACCACATTGTCGTCTCGTTAATTCCTCGTTTTGGAACATTGTTCTTACCTTACAAATAAATCGACCGGTTTGACAGCGATGTTTCTCGATCGTACGTTAAAATACTATTTTGATTTCTTTTCGAGTTTGTCGTTGTTTGGATAATATAATGAAAAGCAGTGACAGCCGTTCTTTGGTTTCCTCGATCTTTGTTGTTCTTTATTTAAAACTAGACTATGGACTTTTAGGCAAATTCATATTTTTGACGATTCATATATTTACGAAACGATATATGTTCGAGGGAACTGAAGTTTTATTATAGTGTGGTCGTCCTTCATCAAATTAAAAATATCTAATCGTCATTTCATATAACGCCTTATACGATATAACTTTACTTGGAAGGTAAAAGACACGGAAAATTGCAAATTTTTCTGTACACGTCTTGAAAAAGGAAAGATAGGACATTTTAATTAAGGCGGGCAAGACAGATTTTCGTAACCCTGCATAGCATTGTACAGCATTGTGCTTATTGGCTTGATGAAAGCCAATTCTTTGTATTCGTATGGCGCTCGATTTCGACTAGTTTCAAATCCACTTGAGAATTCGGTCACTGAACTGAACGCGTCGATTTTCGCGGTCGAAATCTTATCCGAGAACGAGAGAAAGCAAGAAGTCCACGCTTAACAAGTTTGTTAAAGCATACATATGTAGCCTATGGAGTTCGTCGAACCGGACAGCAGTCACCGTAAAATACTCGTCTCGTTTTGTGTATCGAGAGTCGCTGGAGGGCCCGAGAGCCGTGAAAATAAACGTCCCTTCTGGCACCATGAGTCGAGTTCAGCCTGCGAAACCGCAAGTTTCGCCCGGATATTTATGAAGAACCGCGATCCGCTACGATGAAGAAACAGGCGACGTTTATGGTCGAGGAGGTCGACAGACGTTTGGCAGGTCTGCTTTCTCAACCGCAAAGAAGCTCTCCTTTCGGGGCTTCGCCGTTCGTTCCTTGTCTCCCGATCCTGGTTTTCTGCTTCCCCTCCGACGTGTAGCTGTTTAAATTCCATCTACGGTGACCGTCTCTTCTGAAACAATCGTTCAAAGTACCGGACACTATCTCCGCTTTGATCGAAGCCGTTTGATCTCATTTTAAACGCGGATAGAAAAGTTAATTCTTTCCTGCTTCTATGGAAATGAAGTATTAATGACTAAAATGGAATATTTTGAGGAAATAGTCTGCTTTAAGCGCGAGGAATGACATGAAATTTGAAATATAGATAGTACATTCGTATTTCATTGTAAAAGCGCAATTTATACGGCGAGGCAATCGACCCTTTCAGGACCGAATTTTTTTAAGACCGTGAGAAACATTCTTTTTTATTAATTTCTACTAACAGAACCCCATTTTCTCTGATATTTTTATAACGAAAATAGAATGCACTAAAATCAGGACCAATTTTACAAGACAAGTTTATTTATCGTTTAATTACCTAATGTCTTCATAAATTACAAAATCCACCATAAAAGGGTTAATATTCTCGAAATTTTTGAAAGGGTAGTGAAAATACTTGAATGATATATGGTAATGAAAATAGCTAAAAATGTTTTTAAAAAATTTCCGCAAGACAAATGGGGCTATTTAAGTGGTGTGGAATTGATAATCAACGTATTGCATTTCCTTCATATTTAATAAAATTACACCCCTGTGAAAGATAGAAAAAGTAATTTGTTATATCGTTTCTCTGTGGTCTTTTCTTGCTTGTGGTACGATGTATTAATTAAGTGAAATGTAAAGAATGGTCCAGGAAATATTGCAACAGTGATTCCTTTATAGACGCGTGAACGCGCGGAATTCGCATGGCGCAACGAAACGTGCGTGTATGGGAGTGAAATTAAAATGCCCCGTTTCCATCTACGAAATAAAAGATACAACGGTACGAATTTACGAGGGCGAACGTTCTCCGGTTGTCAGTTTGAAATAAACTGGATGCTATCTCGTTTTCCCGGCACAAAACTCTCGCGCTTCAAATAATAAAACGTCTCGTTACATTCCCGCGATTCTTTCTTTCTTTCGGACACGCGATCGGTACTTTCAAAATCATTTGCGCTATTTCGTACGTCGGATGTAGGGCAATTTTCTGTTGTAGCGAACTTTTCATAGAAAATTAACTCGCCAACAAGTGGGCTTGTTTAAAAGCAACAATTGTAAATCCAGTCATTAGACTCTTCAAGCTTTTCCGACTCTACAGCTATCGTTTCGAGCTGAAACTCATAATGATGTATGTCAAGATTTAGAGAATTTCGATTTAGTCACGTATTTCGATCCTCCAAAGTATCATCCCCTTAGATTCACAATCAAGTAAATTATAACTTTATTTTCTGCCACGATATGTTTTTGTGACTTTGAAAAATATAATAAATTTTTTAGAATGATAAATGCAGAATGCTACTTTACGAATAACAGCAATGAATTGATTTGCACTACGACTTTCAAATTCTCCATATAACAGTAGCTTCGGTTGAGGTGATATTTCATCGATGAGGACTACCCTGATTTTTTCGTCGGCTGGAAATACAAAAGTAGACACTTTTTCCGAAATAATACCGCGGCTAGAGGCAGGGGAAGCAGAACCTCGGTCTAGGATAGATCGGAAAGGACGTCGGAAATGGGAGCTCGTCGAGAAAAATTGCGCGAAGGCTTTACGAACCGCTTTTGTGCTCTTACTTCTACTTCGAATGACTTCCGTATCCGAGCACGCTCTGCTTCCGCGAAGCTCCGCCGGCGATAGAAAAATTGCCAGCGGAAAGAAAATGTAGTTGCAGAAGCATGGAAAACAAAGCAAACCACCGGTGAAAGCGAAGAGAAGAAGAAGAAGGGATTGAGCCTCGTAGCGGTCGATTTACCGCGTCTCGTCTGTTCTATATTTATAATTATGTCAGAGGGCGGCCGGAGTCCCAGAAATAGGTATCTGCTCTCTCCATGTTTTTCCACAAATAAGAATCTTTTCTTTTTTGTTGTATCGTCCCTGACATTCTTCTTTACTTTACTTACCGCAGACATCCCTTAATGGGATCAATCGTCGACTCGTGATTTAATTCCGTTCTGGTTTGAATTGATCAAATAATAAAAAGATAAACAGAAATAGGAAATCAACTAAAACAACTTATCCTCTGTGATGTTCAAGTATTTGGATTAGTAAAATTTCAATTGTGCTGTATACAAGTTAGGAAACAGAGATCTCAAATTATTCATTTTAACTATTTCAATTTCGCGTTCGGTGCAGAGGACGATCTTTCCAAGATCATTACTTACTTCGTAAAAGGATTAATTTTCCGTAAATCTACCAGCAATAAGAAATCCTATTTACGTCTCTTTCAGAAATTTGCAGCCATCGTTTGATCTCGCGGCAAATTAACTTCTCGTCCAAACTTCATGCGCGTTTGAAGATCGTAACAGCGTAAGAGCCTCGGAGCAATCGTTCCTCCTATAATTCGCAGCTCCATTAACACGGTTCGGTTTGCGTCATAAATGCAGCCATTTGCTTAAAATATTCGTTTATGAATTAATTTATGTCGCTGCAAACGAGAACAGTTTTCATTTCTATAGAATCTGTTTCTCCTAACATTGTCATGTTACAATGCTGTGTCCATAGTAATAAAGTCCACTATTCTGTTACACTACTGGGTTTACAAATAAATCGCAAACCATTTTCGTTTCCAGTATGGGCACTTTCGTTTCGTCAGAGAAGAAAATATACTGTTACGTCAAATACGAACGATATAGCACGATGGGAAATGGAAATTTTAAACAGCGAAACCAACTGATGTAATCGTATCTAAGACTGAGCGCATTTTTGAGAGACGATTTATATTTTGGGCTGCAGAAATTGCGAATCAAATGATATTGTTAATTTATAGCGACCATAATAATTGAAATTAGAATATTTGATTTTAAAGAGTGCAGTTTCGTTTTATATTTTACATTTTAATCGCGCTCAAGTATATTAGCAAAATATACAATAATATAAATATATCTTAAATTCACAGTCAGTTATCCATAGATTGGCACCACTGATTGGATCATTACTCATACCGGACGCGAAATTTTTACTAAATATATGTGTGCAATAAATATCTTGCAATTTTTATATGCGCTCGTTCCATATTTTACCAATATAATTATGATAGTCGTGTACCATTACAATACACGATGAAACTTCAGTGTTTCATATAAGACATACAATGTGGACGTAAAAGTTTTCTATCGTGAGCCAACGTGTAACGCAAACAATTCACGATTTTCTCCATCGCGAGGGTGTGGCCATAACAACAAAGCTAGGTATGAATTTCGTTAGACGTTAGTAAAAAGGAAATCTAAGCCGAGAAGAAAGAGATGGTCGATTTATGGTACCGATCGATATATTACGAGCGGCAGCACTGTGAACGAAACACAGGCAGAAATCGATGGCCCGCAGCGACCTCATCGATCAGGATGCAATTATCCAGGATCTATCTTGGTAGGAGGTCCTGATTCCGGCCTTCTTCCGACTGGGACCGTGACGTGGCCTGTTCTAACGAGGCTTTGTTACACGACTCGTGCGTCTCGTGTTCCCTCGAGAAAGTAGCTTCTCGTGTTTTCGTCGTCTGCTCGCGAGTAACTCGAGTCGGACAGCGTTAGGCGAGGAAAGCGAGAAATCACGATTTACAGGATGAAAACAGTTGCTCCACGGCAACCGAGATTCTAATCTCTGACAGGTGACAGAGGATCCTATACAGCCTTCTTGGTCACGCTTTCTTTCCTTTTCGCGAGACGAAAAAATTATCTCGGCGCTCGAAAAGGAAACGAAGACGTTTTTTCTGACTTCTCGGCACTTTCGTGTAAATCGCTTTGCTATGTGCTTTTCTCTGTCGATCGATTCGACGACTTTCTAGTCTGAGTGTTTATACGCTAAAAAATGTGGGATTATTAGGTGTTCAATTCACTGCTGGTGCGACTGTTGCGTCTTGCCAAAAATGACTTAGAAAAATGACACTTCTGATGAAAAACATGTTGTAACTTTCATTTACACAACTTTTGTTATACGGATTTGTCTGCGATTTATTTTAAACGTGCATGGCGCAATGATCGAAAAAGTTTCAGCACAACGTGACAAAGTCCAAACCGCTTCTCTTCTTGTTACCAGATTATCATGGTTGAGGCAGCAGCAATTGAAACTTGCCGCGAGAAGGGATGAAAGGAACCCGGGCAAACTTTGGCGTCAGGAAACTGGGAATCGTGTGATCGGCGAGCTGAGAAGCTTACAGAGAGGTAGATTGAGGCACGACGGGTACGCTAGCGATTCTGCGGTGCTCGATGACGATGACGATACGTGGGTTGTCCATTCTACTTCCGGACAGGTGAGAAATAAGACCAATTTTCTATCCTACGTTTTGTTTTCCATAACTTTGTCATATCATATTATTTTTAACACTAGAATTATTAATAACTACAATCTAACTTGTATTAAATACAGACGAAACCGCAATCCTATATCGCATTCGTTTTCCCACAAAACGTGGAAATGGGTCATTTTACTCACTTTGGTATTTGTTAATTACATTACTGTTCTCTGGGCTATCATAATCTCTTTTATGATTTTATGTTATATCGTAATTTATTTTGACAACCATATCTCATTTCTAGTACAACCTACTTTTGTAATCCAATATTTATCTTCCGTGCACTTTTATTACAACACAGTCAATTTTTACAATTACTTACGATCTCTGTATCACGATCTTCTATTGATAATTCACAATTTTAGACGCAATCAAGGCCGGCGCCTTATACATCCGCGCCAGCAAGTCCTCTGCTTCCGCAACGATCCAGCAGCCGGAAGTACAATGGTACGATCGGAACCGGTACCCTAGGAAGACCACGAGCAGAGAGCGTGAACGAGCGTCCATTCATGTCCGTGAAACGCGCTTACGAATATCGCAAATACGGCGACAGTCAGGTAAACGAGGAAGTATATGTACACGTAATAATCAGAGAAAGATAGGAAGAAAGTAGCAGCTTGCTGTTACGTAGATTACGACATAACGTAGGCTGGAATCGATCGTGGTTAACGAACGCGTCAAGATGTCCAGAAGCATAAAATGTTTGATCGTCGTATAAAGCAACGAAAATCACGCAGGACGATTACGCGATAAATATTTATTAAGTCGTCGGTGCGGTTGGAGAAAACAACGTAGTATTAGCCGAGCCAGTTACTCGAAGCGCTCGACTACTTAAAATAATTATCGGTAATAAGGATAATAAATCGAAAACGGCGGCACGGTCGATCCTAGCTTTACGCGAATGAAACGGCGGCAGCACGAACGCTACAATTTAGTCCTTCATAGATTGCGACTGTAAAAGCAGCTCGCACTGTGGTGCTCTGTTTTATGGTTATATCCCACAGTTAGATCCTAAACAGCAAGAAACAGCCCACCTTACACTCGTAGACATGGTAAAAACGATCGCATCCTTTAGAACCGCGAGTTACAGTTTAACCCTTTCTTGTGCCGATTTTTTGGCTCGGTTATTATACAATTATTGTGCAAGGCGTTGCTCGATGATCGGTACGATTGGAAACGAGGATAATTCTACGCGATAAAGCCACTAAAAGATACCTGTGGAATTTCTTGCTTAGAATTTCTCCATAACTTTATTCGCCATACAATATATACCTATCATGAACCTATAATTACCTTGGATATTTATTATGACTGGCGAACCGGTTATAGAAAATTCATCATCGTTCTAACTTCATCTCCATATTCATGATTCTGAATCTTAAAAGATAGCCGTGTAATTACAAATTAATACGATTAACGTGTGCTAATAAAAGATCACGATGATCCGATGGCTAATAAGAAATCAGCGCGTGTAAACATAGAGCGTGGCAGGAAAGGATTAAAACGGCCAGCTCCCTCTAGCATGAAGCGCTTGGCTTGCTTTTCAGAGCCCTCCAACATCCCCTCGCTCAGGCTTAGCAAGCACGCAACCCTTAGGATTAGCAATGCAGCAACAAGCAACGTTCATTAATACGGACAAGCCTCAGCCACCACGACCAGAGTCTCGTAGCGATAGTTTTGCTCGCGCTGACGCTCTGTTGCGCGAGCACCGACAGCAACAGCAGCAACTGGCCGCCAGCAACGTTCACACGGACCAGAAACAATCGGCAAGTCCGGATTTCGTCTCGACTCTGACTCGAAATTCTCGGCCAGAGTCGCGAAATCAAATCGTGACTTGTCAAAGTATCAGCAGAACCACGGTGACCAGCAACGACAGGACCACCGACCACGTGGACGCAGGATTGTTGACCATGGTCGATCAGCAATCGAACACACCGAACAATCCAGACCCTCTCGTGAGCCTCATTCAATCACTGGCTGAAATTTCGCCCATTCGCTCACCTCAATCGATGACTAACAAGTCAGACATGAACGATCATCACACGAGCATCAGCGCAGCAACCACGACAACTGCGAGGAGCAACATTGTTAACCTTGCCAGCACTAATTGCTCCCCTAACCAGTCGCCCAAAGCATGGCAGATTTGCACCCAGGTTTGTCCAGCCTCCTCCCGCAGGAATCCTCACGTACCTCAACTTGCATTCTAATGTTTTTCATTTTTATGTGACTGCATGGAAGGATGGAGAGAAATATTCTGTGTGTGTTTTTTTTTTTTTGTTGTTGTTGTTTTATGGTTGTTTATTTTTTTGATAGATGTAGACTTAACTCTATTGCAGCTACGAATGAGATGTTTAACTCGTGTTTTTATTGAAACGTGAAATGTGATAATATCTAAGTAACAAGTTGACTACTACATCAAAATTGCGTGGTCTTGCATTATGACTAAACTTTAATAAGGAATAACTGATGTAAAGAAGAGATGGCTGAGAATATATGTAAAAATATATTATTTCCACTTGAGCGAAACCGTTCAAATGGGAAATTGCTAATATAACTCCATTGTCTCTCATTGGTACGCTTAACTAAAGATTAAAGGGATAAAAATATTAAAAATAGAAAAGATATTCTGAAGCTTTAACTGTATAATATTACGTCGTATCTCCAAATGCAAAGGGGTTAAGACTAAAAATGTCTTAGATTTCTCTCGAATCATTCTATTTGCATATTTCACCACAAATTTTAGATTGATTGTATACATATACATTTCAAATTGCTTCATACGCCTCATAGATTGATTAGATGTGCGCAGCATCTCTTCAACGTATTTTTAATAATACATCGTATGGAACACACGTGAAAATTTGATGAAAACTTGCAGTCGCACAATGACTCTGCTTCATCGTGGACCGAGAGGAGCGTCAGTCCCGGAAGTACGGTGGTCAACAGCGCGTCGAGACCGCAGACTCCGGCGTTTCCGGTACATCCTCGAACCCCGTACGTGAACAATTCCTCGCCTACGGTTACGTTCGCGGCTGATCGCTCCTATAGCACGAACACGAGTTACAACGTGAACAACAACAACAATAACGTGCACAACGTGGAGTCAACCGGGAACAATAATAACAACATCGGGAATTATGGCAGCGAACGAACGATCTACATCGAAGAACGAAGAGAAGTCTCGAAGGAGACGGGACTTCCACCCAAGAGTCCGACAACACAGAGGTGGGCAACTATTTTGTTATTTTTCTATTATTATTAACTTGTTTCATTCTCTGATTAGCGAAAATAGTATTGGAGCTTCGGGAGGCTCGATTTATTTATTCTACGAATAATATAAAATCAAGTTCAAAAGTCGAATAATTTGCTTTCATTATTTATTGTGTTCGAATTTTTACATAATTAATTTGACATAAATGATTATAATAATAGTAATTTACATGAGGATAACGAAGATAATGATTTGAAGGGTAAGAAAATTAGTTCGCACTCGTAATGACTAAAGTTCCAGTTTTGTTTTAGTGGAACAGAGTGATTTTCTTTCTTTCCTATTTTTTATTTTCTAATGAATGCTGAAGCAAAATTGTTTTGATGGGATTATCTTCCATCGAACATTGCTGATGGAAGCAATGATTATGACGCAGAACGATATTCGTGATTCTAGACGCTTGAGTTTCCCGGCAAGCGGGCCACTTAAACAAACGCATAACAAACGATGGCCGCTCACTAACCAATCGGCGTCGTTCGACTATAGGTAATATATTATTTGAGAGCACTGGAACACGTGGCAAATGACGAACTCGCGCTTCTCAACGATAGAAATGCGTTGACTTCGCAAATATGTCGTGAATGTTTAATGTCGTGCCATTAACCGTTTGTATCAGTACACTTCCACTGCAATCGCATCGTATATGACCATCAAAAAAATTATGTCAAAATATCATCTGATCGACGATATACATTTACGACTTGAACATTTTAATCCTTTCACAGTGTAATTCGAAATAAATATAAACAAAAGATAATAATTTATACGTATATGTAGTAAATAGTAAAATATATTATTGCTGTGTTTCTAAGAGATAATTTAGATTTATCGTCTGATAATTGCATAGGAAGGTAGTGGAACGTTACTTGCAATTACTAATTAATTCCTCATTAATTTGTTATCTTCTGATTTGTACATCTTTACACTAAAATTCGTATACTGTTACTATCAACCAACCAGTGTGTCCGAATATTTATAATTGGCAAAGTATATATTTTTTGTAAGTATCTGATACTAAAAATTCAAAAAATTACGTTGCCAAAGTAATAATTATTTTCTAAATCACTTATTCTGAATTCTTTATCATTTTCGTACACTCTTAAAGGGTTAAAGTGCCTGTAATACATGAAACTTTCGTGTTTCATTTTGGAGCGATGCGGTTGTATGGGGTTTTGCAGATCTCAGCATCGTGATGAAAAACGAAGAGCTAAGAACACGCATTGTTCGTCGTGTGTGAGTGTGTATATTGCACCTGTCGGACTAACAAAAGCTCGAGCTTCTTGCATCGTGAACCACCTTGAAAGCATTTTGTCATGCAACGAATGTCCAAATATGTCAGCACAGTAAGAAACGAAAAAGAAAAAATATGTCAAAGAAAACTCACGTAATAATTCATTGACAGGCTTCTTATTAATAATAAGAAACGAAGAAAGAGGACATTCGATATCACTAATTAACATGTACAATAATATATGCACTATCATTTTACTCAATGACAAGAATTTTTGCTGACAACTGTACGTGTATATAGACGTGCGTGAATCGTTAGGATAAAAAAGAATCGTAAGTTACGAGACGTATTCGTGCAATCGTATTTCTTTCTCGCTCTTTTTCTGTCTCTTCGCCTGTGTTTCCTTTATCGATATTCCTTCTTCCTGGCCCTCGATCTTTTCCTCGTTCTTGTATGTACCACATTTCCGATGTTTTCTCACAGCGTACACCATCTTGCACGAATCACCTGACAACACACATCTGTACACTGTACACACACAGAGATCACGGAATACACGCGTCTGCCTGCACGCGGAAAACGATCCTGCTCGAAATGCACTTTATAACGATGCTTGTGATTGCTTCCTTGTAGCAAGGACCGATCTGTTTCTCCGATAAACGAGCCAACGATGCAACAACAATCGCAAGCTGTCTCGCGCAGCCCTGGTACTCCGACTCACATTGAATTTGCCCAAAGTCCGAAGGTACGTATAGCCAAATACACTTTACGAATTATTTCTCAATCAATTATTATCTGTATCGATTTAATCGATCGTTTATCATGTTTCTAATTGCATTTTTATTTATTGTACGAGTATTCATTTTCATTGTATTGAAGCTACTGTAGTTTCTGAGACGATGGTATTATGATTGGGTTTTAGAGTGCCACATCGTACACATCCATAAACAGTGGTGGCCAGTCATCTCCTCAGATCCAGTATTACGGTTCAAGACGATCCAGTGTACATTCGAACACCGAGCCGCAAGAAGTGGCCGATGTCAACGTAAAATTTGTGCGCGACACCAGCAGGATCTGGTACAAGCCCAACATATCTCGAGAGCAAGGTACTTATTTCACTCAAATTTCCTTCTAGAATTCTATCTATCTCGAATAATCTGCAAACGAATTTAATTTCCTAATCAGGCTTTCATCAAATAATAAATTAACCATAGACAAACGGCGTAGAAGCGATATTTTTACTAAACTACTGATTTTTATGCATTTACAGGAATTTTATTTGTGAGGATTTTTATTCATTTTTTGAGAAACATTTTAATTGTGAAAATCTGAATCCGAAAGACAAGTCTGAACGACGTAAACACGAATCTGTATTGATATTTTTCAGCAATCTCAATGCTAAAGGATGCAGCGCCAGGAACATTCGTCGTTCGAGATAGCAATTCCTTCCCAGGAGCCTTTGGACTCGCTCTGAAGGTAGCAACTCCGCCTCCAAGTGCACCAAGCAGTCCCAAAGACCCGTCTAGCGAGTTAGTCAGGCACTTTTTGATCGAGCCTACATCCAGAGGTGTTAGATTAAAGGGATGTGCCAACGAGCCAGTCTTCAGCTCGTTATCAGCGTTGGTTTATCAACACAGTTTGATGGCGATGGCTCTACCTTGCCAGCTGTTGCTCCCAGAACCGGAAGCTGCAGCCAGAGCTCTCGATTCACCTGGCACGAATAGCACACAGCAACTGCTTGCACAGGGTGCAGGTAATTCATTAAGGAAACGTAATAGTCGACTAATGTGAAATCTTCAACACATGAGAAATATTAATCAAAGAATATTAATCATTCGAATTCAATAATTTCAAAAATACGAATATTCTTTTATTAACTATTTATAAAACTCAAACATATACAGAATCAAAGTTCTTTGCCTCGGGAGATTCTTGCAATTTCAAAGTTTTTCGATGAAAACCTATGACGCATATGTGTGCATCATTATATGTATATAAAAAGAGATACGCATGACGCATATATTGCGTTACTAGATAGATGTTAATTTAATTTCTCAATTGCATTATGATTTATGATTTGTAATTTCTGTTTAGCCTGTAATGTTTTATACCTTTTCACCATGGACACGGAATCACTGACGGGTCCTCAGGCCATCAAAAAGGCAGTCACGACAATGTTCGAGCAGAAGCCACTGCCTACAGCGACTATCGTTCATTTCAAAGTTTCAACGCAGGGAATAACTTTGACGGATAACGCGCGAAAGCTTTTCTTTCGTAGGCATTATCCCACGAATAATATCAGCTACTGCGGCTTAGACACGGAGGAACGCACTTGGGACTTCGCCAGCGAGGAAACTGGCCGCTCAGTCAGTGCCCAGTACGTTCTTTATGTTCATTCTTTTCACATTCCAATTTCTCTTAAATTTACCACTAGTTTTACTTTACCACGAAGATACCTAAAATTGTTTCCTTCGATTCGAAATTATTTAAAATTCAGATTAAAATTTAGTCTATAATAGCAACTTTGTAATTTAATGTTAGATTTGAAACTTTAGCTGTATTATTTTTAGAATTGGCATTTAATCAAAGGTTACAAATCAGTTGTTTAACATCTCTTTCGAAATTCAAGCTGAATTAGTTGTAAACATGGAATTCAATCGAAAGTAGGAACGTAATCAAAGATTACTCTTAAAATTCAAATCGACCAATTTTTCTCATAAGTCCGATTTATTATTGTATGTCTAATTCTCTTTTTCCAGTCGATGCTTCGGATTCGTCGCTAGAAAACCGGCGCACAAATCGGACAACCAATGCCACGTGTTCGCGGAGCTAGAACCAGAACAACCAGCCACAGCCATAGTGAATTTCGTGAACAAGGTCATGATGGGCAACTCCATAGCCAAGGCCAACATCGTATAAATTGTTTTATTCGTCGCACACGTCCTCCAGAATGCTTGAATAACGGTTTCATCTTCGAAACGCGGACAGAAAGTCGACGAAGACAAGATAGAAGCGATTCATCATGAAGAATGAATACGGATCGAACATTATTTACGAAGAATAATAGCAAGACCGTGCTATTCGAATGACGTTAGTTGACTATCGTAATAGGTCTTCATGCATTTCGTGAAGTAGAATCGAGTCAGTAGAGCATGAACGTTCTAAGCAAAAATACAGTAGAAGTTAACGATAGAGATTGAATCGTTATTGTTCTAAATGAAGAAGTATCCAAGTGAAATGGTAAACTCGGTTCCATCCTCGTGTCAGTGATCACGCTATTCAGAAGAGAATGTTATTAACGACGATCGTTATTGCTGGTTATTATATTAGAGAATAGTAAAGTAATATAAACTATATCGGAGCAAAGTACGATGGCGCGATTGCAACTTCTCGTTGTGTTACATTCTAGAAAAGAAACACGAAGATTTAACTTAAGAATAATTGTAACGATTATTCGTCTATGATTAACCGTTTTGTACCAGTTTTTTACGTCTATAATCGAGAATCGTTCCTGCATTAATTAACGTAAACCATCATCAAGAGCAACGCATGCTACACAGAATTTTCGTTTTCTATTAATCGTATTCGTTGTGAAGGGACGAAGTTACAGGATAACGACGTTATACTTTGCTTCCAGCGCGAAACTATTACACGAACGATATGCAAGCGAACGTACCGATAGCTGGTAGGTATAGTTGATTACGAGTAATCGAGCGTGCTCTATGCGCGAATCTCGAAGATCGTCGCGCATTCGAAGCGCAGACTCGCGAGTACGTGTCTCGATCGTAAAAAATATCACACGCAGAAATAGTTACACGTATATATGTACACTGTTACGAAAAAATGCAAGAAAACTCAAGAAAATAGTTGAATATCTATATACGTTATTAATCACGTTATACTTGGGACTCTCGAGTAATGTTTATCGAAGAAAATGTTACGTCGTTGCGGAGCCGTGCCTGTGTATCGTAGCCCGCGATGTTCCAAAAGAAAGCAGCGGTTTAACGTTACGAATAAAACGTTCTATAAATAACTGTAAATAAGTCGAACAGAAAATATGAACAGGTATCGAGAAGAGAATCGATGCTTGTTCGTCGGATGAAGAGATGAGAAGTTAAGGGATAAAGTAATGGGGCGAACGGAAGAAAAAGGAGAGATCGATCCTCCAACAGCGTCAACGTGACGGAACAAAAATATAAACGATACTCGATGAGGAGTAGCGTATCGAAACGAAACATCACATTTTGTTTAATGACTCCCCGTAGGTTCTTGCCATTTATTCGTCCTCGCGAGCGACGTCCTTCGTTCGTGAAAGAAGAATTCGAGAATCGACGAAGGAAGATCCAATTGGCGGGGACGACGATAAGCAGTCAATTATTACGAAAGAAATGTTATATGTAATTACGACAATACCGTGCCACGAGGGGATTTACGATAAAAAAGAGGGAAAAAAAGAAACTGTTTATCGTATCCTCGACGTCGCGATAATTTTCTTTCTTTTCTCTTCGTCTACTTTTTACACTGTTTTAATGCAATCGAGAAGATCGGTCGGACTCTTATTAAGCTTCCTCTGCTTTATCCAGATGACTCTTCCAGTTATCGAACCAATGATATTGGAGAAGAAATGGAGAGTGAGGAGTTTTTGTCAGAAACTGTGTGCTAGTCAAAATTCGATGTGTATACTCGAACGTACAGAGAATTCGATATATAGATCTCGATCTGTAAAAGACGAGAATAATACAAACCATCCGATCTTTCTTCTCGATCCTCCTCTCTATTTTAATTCTTCGTAGTCGTTGTTCGTGGCCGCGTTTCTGGCCGCGAGCCACGATCGTTGTCTCGTCTTTATATGTTTCAATTTTCGTACACGTGGAAAGCTAACTAACCGAGTAACATTAATTTAACACCAGTCATTATTATAATAATTATTAATTATTATTACTTATTTACGCTCTATTATTACGTAGGTTCACGCAATAATTGTATTGCTGCATACCAGAACGGTATGCTGTTATAGTTGTAACGATAATAAACCATATTCGCAGCGTACTATCAAATAATCCATTTTTATCCTATTTTCAGGAATACGTTTAAAAGAGTATCCAAGAAGAAAAGGAATAAATTTTGCCTAATCTACTTTTCTCCCTGCTCCTGAGAAAAATCTGCTCGTAATTTTCTTGTTTGAATAATAGCATCTAGAGCTGTCATACTTCTGTACTCGAAAAGTAGGATAGATCTGATGGATAGAAATCTGTATATTATCGATTAAATATCAAACTACTTTCTTTGATTCAAGAATGTGCAACTTACAAGTCGCCCACTATTACGCGAAGTATCGCTCAGAATGAGAGGAAAAGTTTGCAAAAAACTAAATCGACTTTCCTTGCTTTTTCATATTTTACATTTGCCTTTATCGGAATGGAATTCGGTGAAGAGGTAGCTACGGTAATAGAAAATTGCCTCTCGATTACCGTTAGCAGATTAGAATGGAATGAGACGCGCTGCAAAGAAAAATGATGGAACGTTTCCCTCCAATGAACCGGATTCCTCTTGCGTGCAATAAATTTTTTTCATAGACACAGTATAACATAATTATGAGGCTACAAACGTTGTCCTTTTTCTTCTGTATAATCTTTAACCTGTTTAAAATTGCACGCTTTCGAGTTGGAAATTTGCAAATTCCTAAAACAAAAGCAAGAAGACCTTCGCATTTAACTTCATCAGTATCATCCATCATCTCTGCAACACAATAGATTAAAATAGCATTTTCAAGATTGGAAAATATTTGGTATCACATAAACTTGTACGAAATATCTAAATGTTGAATTGAGAATCTTCCTAATTAAATAATTAGTGACAATAACTAATAACAAAATACTGCAGAGTCTCCTATTCATCAAATAAGGAATATATCATCTATTTCTCTTTCAAGAAATAAGACAATATATGACATAACAAAATATGACAAGAAATAAGATACTTTGTAATGTCGCAAGGACTATGTGCAACTAAAAAGATCCTTCAGAAAAAAAATCATGTAGAGCTAACTAACGGAGTAAGATTAATTTAATTTAACGCCATAAAACGGAGCATAGACCTAATTTAATAAAATTCTAATGTGATGATAAAATATTTTTTAAGTTACTAACGATCCAATAGAATCATGTGTATTCCACTAACCTCAGGACCTTCGATCTACTATCGAAGCGAGGTCTTAGAAGTTCTCACGAGGAAGTCGAGTACTGAATACCATACAGAAATCCCGTAAGCTGCGCTCGTAAGGCAGCCCCAGAGAAATTGTCCTTTTTCGCATACGACGAACAAGTCCGAGAAAGACTGGTTTCGGCTCGAATCACCGGATCAGTCAACGAGGAGACTTCGAGACGATCGCATATCCTGGCCTGACACAGGCCAATCATGGCTGTCGACTTCAAGTCGATCCTACGCGTCGTGTTTATCGGTTTATCAGTGATCATCATCGCGTCGAATCGAGCCATTGCTCGACCACAGCGCGGCGATTTGGAATTTCTGCCCGTAGAAAATTACGATTGTTCTTCCATGAGAAAAGATGATTGGTCCTCCGACAAAGGAAACCGTGAAACAAGGTTTGTTTTCGAGGAATATTATTTTCTGTGATGAATTTTAAACAAGTAGTTAGATTATGGATTCTCATGCAATTTTATATTTTTAGAAATAAAGAATTAGAAAAGTATTTATTCATCAAAAGAATTTCTGTATGTGTCAAATTTTTCTAATTCAAGAAACAGAACCTAAATAGAGATTTCTTTTATCTACTAAATTTTCTGACAGGTGCTTTACTTTGCGCTCTTTGTACGTTCTTGTATATTGCGTACGTCAAATCCATTTTTAAATCTCCCATAAATACATAAATATCCGCAATCTACTGATTCTAACACTTTCGTGAATTACATTTGATTGAGTGTACGTTGGATTAACTTTATTTTGATTGATCGATTTATATTTGTCAATAATGATCCGCAAATTCTGAATGAAGATTTGTTTAAATTCTGGTGAAATACAGAGGATAATCGGATTTTCAATGATCATGAGAACACGGACCACATTGAAAGAATCGAGGTTGTTGTTTCAGATGTCTGGATGAAGAGAATACTACATTCAACGAAACTGACTATGATTTATTGATCGATAACGATGGCAGAGGATTCTCTTTTGTAAATATCGTTGAATCAGTGTTTTTTGCGGTAGCTAATGGAATCGACTCCATCATGACTACTATTATCGGTACAGAGAAAAATTTCAAACCGCGGTCGTCCAGAGTTAGTTACAAAAATTATCAATTGATCAGATTGTACCCAAGTTCACAAGGGCACGTGAACGATCTGAAAGATCTTAAAGAAACTGAGCCTGAAGATGTTAAGTTTTGGATCGAACCAATGTACAACAAGTGCGTGTTCTTTATTTGTGCTAATTTCCTTTAATCGTAATTTGGTAGATTGCAAAAGAATCATATTTAAAATTGATATTCTAGGACAACAGACGTGGTTATCGCGCCAGATCTTGTCTCTGACGTGAAAATATTCTTTAGAAACAAAGGGATCGATTTCAAAGTGCTGATGCCGGACCTTCAGGTACGAGATGTAATATTGACAGAATATTTAACGATAAGAGGTTATCAATAAAAGACAAATATTAGTCAAATATACAATATATATCAATAAAAGACAAAATAGTCAGATATACGAATTTTAACCTTGCTACGATTTTCGAATTTTCCTTGAAATTGGCGTTTCGACGATTTGATCTTGGATTTTACTTTGAATTAAAAAATTTCAATTTTAATTGTCTTCAGAAAATTTAGAGATTAACACATCATTGTAATACGTGATTACGCATATTGAAAATGTAGCAGAGATATTAAGGACTAGTTTAAATTATAATATCGTACCTAAAGTTAATTACAGTGACATCAATTTATTTCTCTCTTCAATTGTTCGTTTAATTCCCTGCAATAGAAAATAATAGCGTATCAGAATCCAAAAATGACAAAGGAGCAACGCGAAGATCTTGTCATGACTAATGGCCACAGTATGACTTGGAAACGGTATCATCGATATGGAGGTAAGTACGTTTCCATACAATACTCATCGATTTACTCAACAATGTACGAACGCGTTGTGCTGCTAAAAAATAGTTCCTGATATACTTAATTGAATTGATCCACTATTTACTTAAACGTCATCGTATTGGATAAAGAAATAAATAATCAAGATATTTAAACTGATCCAGAGAGTGAGGAAAATATGAACAAAGATTTGATAAACAGGTTTTTACTCACGTCGGATTCCTCGATGTCAAGCTTCAGACAAACTGCACATTATATGCTCGATTATATGTTTGATCTTTGACTCGAATCCTCGTTCAAACGTCGCACGGTGCAATGAGATCCTACGTTTCAAACATAAGATTTTAGTAAAAAAATTTCTAGTAGTTTATTGCCGAAAACTGAACGACTAAACACCAAAAATTCTGCGTCTATACTATATCTTTTCTGTATCAAACTCTTCTGAAATTTCCAATGTAAATCTGGTCGTCCGGTTTCAGATTCCTCTACTGTCTTCAATCTATTTTTACCATTTCTATCTTCTAGTCATATCCTACAACATAATATATGATATAATATAAAATAATATTTCTACAATAAGATGAATGATCGTGTCAAACTGTGAAAGTTTTCGAACACAATATGTCCAATTCGTTAGCATCTCTTTAAAGTAGAAATTTACAATAATTTATTTTAATGTACGGACATTTTTTTTTCAGAAATCGTTAAGTATTTGGAATATTTAGCCTTGAGTTATCCAACCCTGGCCGAAGTGATAACTATAGGACATAGTTATGAAAACCAACCTATCAAAATGATAAAAATTTCAACCGGACCGAATAAAGAAGGCGAAGCCAAACCGGCTGTTTGGATAGACGCCGGTGAGTTGCTGTTCCTATGTTTTACCCACAAATTTTCAAATTTTACAAACAAATTCTACAAATTACAATCATCTGATTATCGTATTTATTTAACGTAAAATTGTAAAATTATAAGAAAGATACCTACTTGCCAATCGACTAATATTCGCTAATTGGCTAGCAATCGTACGTGCTTAACATTTTCTATTGAAGGCGAACTAAGGATACGGCAAACTCCAGAGTCGTATCGTGTTCTAGTCTTTAACATGAAAGCTGGATCTTTGTTATTCTCGTTGACAGCCCGTGGATTTATGTTTTAACTGAACCGAGACTCTGCATAGTAACGTGAGAGATCGTACGTACGAGGGAATTTCTAGTAAATTCATTTCTTCGTTCTCAAAGGAAGATCGTTTCCTGTATGATGTTGCTTCCTACTGCGATAAAGACTCCAAGGATTTATAAGGAGAAAATGTAATAGATACATAAAGAGCAGGATATTATAACAATTTAGTAAAAAGAATACAGAAAGCTGTATGAAATATTCCTTCGAATCAACAGATTTTCATATGTTTTTTAATTAATTGTTTAATGCCTTCGAGTACTTACGCTACGTTATTATTGATAATTGTATCTTTATTCGCGTTATCCAAGTTCATTTCGTATATTCGGTACATGTTGCGTCAGACAACATCTATCTATATCTAGGCACTTCATCTAAGTCAAAGTATAAAGACCGTATTAATTAAATCCATATCCTCCTCGAGGAGACGTTATAAAAAATAGCAATAAGTCGCCGGAGGATATCGCTCTATGCAAATGAGGAACGTAATAAGAAAAAAATTGTCTATATTTTTTGTCACGTAGTAAAATCTAAGTCAATAAAATTTCTCGAGAATACGTTTCAAAATATTTTCGAGAGAGCAGAGTTTCTATGCTCGACGCGTTCCACGTGACCCTATCCCGTTATGTGGTTTTTTCTGGAATTGTCCTTACATTCGGCAGGTATGCACGCACGCGAATGGATCGGCTCCGCCGTGGCGACCTACATCATCAGCCAGTTGGTCGAGAAAAACTCGAGCTACGCTAAATTGCTCGACAATTCGGACTGGATGATCTTACCGGTCGCAAATCCGGATGGCTATGAGTTCACTCACACTGGCGACAGATTATGGAGGAAGACGAGAAGTAATCATGCAGAAAATCAAGATGACAGTCGGTACGATTGCATTCTTCGATTTTTTGGATCCTTTTCAAGAAAACACTTCGTTCGTTATCTCCATAACTGAGGATATTGGTGGATCGATATATGAAATTCTCTCACAAACTAAATTATCTCTATTTTCATATAACAAAATTTATAGATACACTATTAGTATCCATCTTTAAAAATAAAGGATCTGTTCCTATTAATAATAATAAATAAATAAATTCCTATTTTGAGGAATTTATTTGTCATAAAAAGGAAGCATAAATAATGGCAAGTTCCAAGAGAAATCTTTACAAATAGTCATCGTAATTGTCAATTTCACCTGTATTTTAATTTATATAGTTAATCAGTATTATTTCTGAATTACTGTTTCTGAAAAAGATTTTAATATAATTTAGTTTTACTTACAATATACGTGGTTAAAGTAATCGCAACGTACATTTACGCCTCTTTTCAGTATCCTGTGACTTACGAACGGGAATGTTGCTCCATTTTAGGTTTCTTCAGCTAGTGAACCATTATACAGGGTGGTTATGGGGCAAATGCGAGGGTGTCGACCCGAATAGAAACTTTGACTACCATTGGGGTGAAATGGAAGAGGGTGGGGCGAGCTTGGACCCTTGCCACGAAACTTACGCCGGACCGCGCGCGTTCTCCGAACCGGAAACGAAGGCAATGGCCGATTATATCTTGGCTAACAAACAAAATATTAGGTAAGTATATAGGATAATTTAGAAAGGCGATTAAAAAATCGTCAGTTAATTAAATTACGATTTTTTAAATTGAGTAACCTCAAGCAAACGCTTGTCGTATTCCAGTGATTTATCTTTTTCACGACCTATTTTTAGAAATTGTACGTATCGATTCCAAACGGTTTCATCGGTAATATTGAATCCGATACAATTTAATCGAAGTTAATCCAGATCATGGATTTAAATGATGGATGGAATAATGCTTTTAGGATTTATCTAACGTTGCACTCGTACTCACAAATGTGGCTAGTGCCATGGGGATATACGTACTCAAAACCGTCCGATTATTCCGAATTAGCAAACGTAGCTAAAAAAGCGATAGGAGCCATTTCGAAAATACACGGGACCGATTATCAACTTGGTACATCGGCACATCTGTTATATCCAACCTCAGGTACGATCACGTGAAAATCAATATTAAACAGATACGATAGGTGAGATACCAAGGTAAATGGTTCTTATCTCCTTTGTTTGATAATATTCAACAATTAACGAAGCGAAAAACGTACTCACGTGCTGACAGTTAATTAAACTGATAAATAATGGGCTATTGAACAATAATAACTGGGAGACAAAATGAGATCATATCATAAAATATTAAAACAAAAGTAATATTCGTATTTATAGAAATGATCTTCTGTAGTATATAATAGCCTTTTGTAGGAGAGTAATGAATTTACAAAGATAATTGGATTTCTATTTAATATAGAATTGTACATTTATCGTATATATCGAATTTTTACTGAAACAAAATTGATCAAACTACTTCCTTATGAAATTACCAATTAAAAGCGAAACTTGTCGTTCGACGATTTATAATATATTTTTTTTCTCGTTCCATATAAAGTTCAACAGTAGGAACAGAAATCGTCCATTCTTTATTTATCATTCCTTGTAAATCTATTTGAGTAACAGTTTGTTTGAAACTTTGCCAATATAATCATGGTAGTCGAGTTTCATTTCGATGTTAATAAAATTCCAAATGTTTTATATAAACAAAATATATTCATGAAAGATTTCTGTAAATATTCAAATATTTTCGTGAGCGACTGTAAGAAAAATTGCTTAACAATTAAAATGTATGACTCGTAATGCTCAGCAAATTTTAGGTGCTTCTGACGATTGGGCCAAGGGAGTAGCCGGAATAAAATACGCCTACACGTTAGAGCTTCGAGATCGCGGCACGTATGGGTTTCTACTTCCGGCGTCACAGATCGTGCCAACTGCTCGTGAGATTTGGGCAGGAATAAGAACGATCGCCCGTCTAATCACTTGCAACACATGAAATCGATCTCTATTATCAATTGAGTACTTCAACGCAAAATTGTTAATTATCGTGTCTTATCGGCGCAATGATTTTGACGACTCTCGATATCGAGGAATGAATCTATCTCGTGTGACAGTGATAATTTGGATTGATAAGCGTGGAATCGATCGAAACCGACGATAATAGCAATTTATTTTCTGTTACGAAATTATCAAATGTGTACATAGTTTGTCACCGGGAATATTAAAATGCTATTCAGAATTCTGTAACCTACTGACAGAATTTTATTATTCACTGCATGTACCAGCTTTACTAAATATTCCAGCGCAGATAATCGTATTAAATTCTAATAAGTGATATGTAAATATTGTAAAGTATACGCAAAGTATATAGAAATATAAGAGTTTAGTAAGATGTAAAAGGAAGTGAATGGACGAATAAATGAATTTAAAAAAGACAAATTATATTCATCACTTCGGAGAAATAAGTTAGAATATATTTTTTGAGGTTTAGGTCAATAACCTATTTGTATCTATATTTAATAAAAATTTTTTAACAATTGAAATACTCAACCCCGATACAAACGCGCCACGATACAACAATGAATCTATTATCTAACCATATCTAATGGAAAAATAATCAATTAGTGCGATATAATTGTATGAAAGAAAGTAACATAGTATTATTGATAGAAATACGATTGCGATATTAAGCGATAATCAATGCGTTCTTTAAAACGTAAACTTAAAGTTAACATATCGAACGTAAAAATAACATCAAGTGGATCCGTTATCGATTATAATTTAGAATTATCACCAGATATCGACCTGTAGCATCCTATATAAATCGTAATTTCCACCAGATTTCTCAAGTTGTATTAAGGCAATCATACAACAATGTTCATCAAAAGCATTCTGGCTGCCGTTCTCCTCCTCCAGGGTAAGAGAGTACAAATTCATAACTTCTTCCTTATTTTAGTTAACTATTTTTACATCAATTTACCAAGAGATTGATACCTCGGAATATCTCATTCAAGATTTCACTCAAGATGTTGGATACTTCTTTCTCTTTCTTCTTTCTTAATTCTTATAAAATATTAGAAAAGATTTTAAAATGCAATAATGCATAAAATGCAATCTGGATATATAAATATTAAAGTATATTACATATTTTATAGTCTGCTGGGCCATACCCACCAACCTGCAGCCCCGTATCACCGATGGTGTTCCAGCCGCTCATGGTGAATTCAAATACCAAGTTTCCATTCAATGGGCAGTCCCACCATTATCTCAATACAGCCACTCCTGCGGTGGTTCCATCCTGAACGAAAAATACATCTTGACCGCTGGCCACTGCGTCATGAAAATTGGAAAAACTAGGGTTGTCGCTGGCAAATACGAATTGAACAAGGTTGAATCCAGTCAACAAATCGTGCAGGTTGCCAGAGGCATAGTCCACAGTGGATACAAAGGGTAAGAATTGTTTGAAGATTATTCGAATGGTTACTTTGAAATTGCGAGAGAAAAGATTTGACCAATGGAAAGCTTTGTTCGCCGATCATTTTTCTTTCCTTAATATCGTTCCTATCGTAAATGATTCTTCATTTCAACATCTGAAATACGTATCTACTACTCGTGTATCTACATTAAAAAAATTTTAGAATTTCTTCTCTCATAGACAAATAAGATTTCATTAATTAAAGAGCAAAGTAAGACCTCGTCTTCTCAGCTTCCACGTTGCTCCCCTCCCTCTCTTGCTTCCTATTTCTAAAAGATGCTTGAGAACCGAACCCAATTTTCTCGAGAACGTGACCGAACGACCTTCTTTCTTGTATCTTTACTTTGTCACTAGTAATTTGTAATCTTGTTTTATCATTTCTTATTCTTCAAGTAAAGGAGAAGATATACGAGATCGATATGACTATTTTAAAGCAAATAAACTACCATATCGCTCATACCATTAACATACTTTTCTCTATGGTTTCATAGTGGCGTTGCGCAACACGACATCGCTCTGTTAGAATTGGCAACGCCCTTGAAGCTGAACGACCTTGTCCAACCAATCACCCTGCCCAAACAAGGAGAGAAACAAACTGGACAAGCTGTCCTTTCTGGATGGGGATCAGTCTCTAAGACCTCCAAGCCCTCTTTGCCAAACGTTCTTCAGAAAGCTGTTGTACCCATCCTCGACAACAACGACTGTTACAAACAACTCACCTCCGGATCTGTCATTGGACAAAAACCTGAACTGTACGACACCCAGGTCTGCTCTGGAATTGCTGGCAAAGAAGTATCTGCTTGCTCTGTAAGTATATCTCATATCGTTTTAAATTATTATACGCGTTTGTCTATGAAATTGTTAGTTGAGGGTGAGTATGAAATTGGAATATGTATAGAAAATGATTACAATTAAAGATGAAATTAATAAAGTAGAATGAGGGATTAGTTAGAGTTTTTAGGATAAGAAACTAGTGAAATGGGATTAGAATCGAAATCGGAATAGAGATGGAAAATAATTGGAGATAAAGATGGAATTGATAAAGTAGAGTGAGAGATTAGTTTCTGATTTTTTAGGATGAAAATCCAGTGGAATTGAATTAGAGTTCGAATTAAAATTAGAAAAGGTTATAAGGATTACAAATGAAGATGAGTCGATTAGTTAGAGATATTTTTGAACGAGAGATTAATGGATTTATTCGATTTGTTTCCAGGGTGACTCTGGTGGCCCACTCGCCCAAAAGGTTAATGGAAAGTCTGTACAAGTTGGTATCGTTTCATGGGGTATGATACCATGTGGATCTAGCCACATGCCTTCCGTCTACACTCGTGTTGCCTCCTACGTCGATTGGATCCACTCTCACATGAAATAATTTGACTTTGACCCTCTACTTTCAACATTTTTTCACGGAATTCAATAGCAAATTTCTATGATGATAATAAATAATACCAAAAACAAGAAGATTATTGCATAAAATACAATGTAGAATTTTTTGAATAAACGAAATACTAAAAATAAATTTGTTAATCAGAAACCATTAAATTTAACCTCCATTCTTATTTGAATTACAATCCAAATGCAATGATCGATAAGCAAGAGTCAGGCATTAGAAATTAATCGATGTCGAAACTCGGAGATCATATTCGAATCAATCTAAATATATCAGAAAGATTAATCGAGATTAAACAGAAAGCCATAACGAAAACAGTAAGAACGATTTTTATAATCAATGTACGAGACTTTTACTTTTTTATTGCCTTTCGGAATTCATTTTTATTGAGAAACAAAGATGACACATATATCAAATAAAAAGTCTGTTTCGAAAAAAGGAAATAATGTTTTAAAATCGAAATGTCTTGTCAATACCGAAAATTGCTTCATATTTAACGACTGCTCTAATTATTATTATTATTATTATCTGGTATTTGACACGAGGAAAGTAGCACAATTGGAGTACACGCGTCCACGACCCGATTGTAACCAATTTTTTCGTGTCACAATTATAAAAAATTTCTGTCGTGCACAAAACAGATAAGAGGATCGTAGGAAGAAAAGATGACAAAAAATTTGACGGTGAAATCTTTTTAATCTCCGCATCAACGATCTCGAAATGTATTTTGACGATAAGCCGCGATAATCCATATCGATAACAGCCGTATATATTCTCTCGACAGAATGCACTACAGCAAATCATCGAAATGTCTCTCAAAGTGACCATCCTCGTTACCCTGCTTGCAGCGACCGTCAATTGTAAGTGAACTTTCAACGTAGATCAGTGACAGTCAGAGTATTTTAGTTTTACTCTCCTAAAAATTCCTTAAAAAAGAAATTAAATTATTTATAATTTCATGATAATGAAATTAAGGTAATGTTTCAAATGATTATAATAAATAATTATATTAAAATAGTTCCTATTACTCGGTAATATCAAGCGATGTTACAGATGGTGTTTCTTTATAATTATCACAAAATAGGAAAATATTTGAATCTAAAATCAAATAATTGTTTGCATTTACAGCAAAGGCCTACCGTGGCTTTACCGTGCCATTGTTCGATAGCCGCATAGTCGGAGGACACGAAGCTACCCCTGGGCAATATCCATGGCAAGTCTCTTTGCAATGGGGATGGCTGTTTGGCTACTCCCACTTTTGCGGAGGAGCTATCCTGAATAATCAATGGATCGTCACAGCTGGACACTGTGTTCTGGCTGTTCCAACCTATGGTGATTTTATCGTGAAAGCTGGAAAACATAATTTGAAGACGGCAGAAAGCACTGAACAAAGTATCCAAGTCGTGAAGACGTTTGTACACGAAAAATATACGGGGTAACTATACGTTTCATTGAATTAATAATGAAAAATATAAAACATACTTCTAGAAAACTCAAGGATGTCGAATTTTAAAAACTTGAAAAACACATTTTAATTGTTTTGTACCGAAAATATAATGGACTTAACATCTTATTTTTCCGCTATGATTTTCATACGTAAGAGATAATGGTTTATACCTACAATAGTTTTATATTACTATCTTATATTATATTACATATAGAAAATTATAAGGATTAGAATAATTAGTGAACGAGACAATACCTTAGTTCAAAGATATAAATTTCTTTATTTTTGCTCAAATGCATAAAAGTATAAATTTAATATAAACACGTACGGTCTAGTTGTAACTGAATGGAACCATACACTCTGCACAAATCCGAAATATCATTGTGATAATTTCAGAGATGTGGCTCCATATGACATCGCATTGTTGAAACTGGCATCGCCTCTGAAACTGAACAACGCGGTTAAAGCGATTAGTCTGGCCAGGTCGAACACAGTATCGGGGAAAGCGGTCTTGACAGGTTGGGGATCAACATCTAGGACCTCTAATCCAAACATGCCTGACAAACTTCAAACTGCCGAGTTGCCAATCATCGATCTGCAGACTTGCAAAAATTCCATAGAGAAACTCACTGGTCCATCTCCTTTGCACGAGACGAACATTTGCACTGGACCGCTCACTGGCGGTTTTTCAGCGTGTAATGTAAGGAATCAGCCACATTTACATTTATTCAGTTTCTTGCTATTTCCATGGAACTCTATTGGTAAATTTTATACATTTAAGGGCGACTCTGGCGGTCCCTTGATCCTCAACGGTAGCAAACCTGAACTCATTGGAATCGTTTCCTGGGGAATCGTTCCATGTGGAACGGTAGGTGCAGCATCGGTATATACCAAGGTGTATTCATTCGTCAATTGGATTGAAAATATCATATCTAAGAACTAAGGAACAAATGTACCAAAGGGTCATAGCATAAATATTTGTATATTATATTGTATACACGTATGTAGGATAGGATAATATGTATATGTAAGAACTAAATAATATATAAATCTACAAATATATGAAAGAATATATAGATATAAGAAATGTAAAAATGAAAGTAATTCGATAAGGAAGATTAATCGATTCGTACAATAAAATCGAGAAGACTGTGTTACACCTACTTACATCGTTTTATTGAATAAATTTAGAATGTACAGATACATGAAAGAAATATAGTGATGAAAAAAGATCAACTAACTAAATGTTGTTAGTTCTCTTGGAGGCATCGGTATGAGACAAAAATCCCAAAAGCAAAGTGTTACTTAGATCCAATAAATATCCAATAAATATATAGCAATAACCAAGTACGTACCTATAAACGTATAAATGTATGAAAGAAAGAAACGATAAAAGAAAAAAATATTAAATATTAATAACTTCCTTAGAAACATCGTTATTTCTTTTCACATAACGGAACGAAATTCCCATAAACGAACTATCAGGTAGGTGGTAGAACTAAGACCTAAACTCTATTAATGCACACCATAAAAAGTCAAAGGTCTACAGTGAGAATAGAACTAGTTCTGAGCTGGTAGGAAGAAAGATTTCAGTTCCTCTTCAGAATGCTCTTCCGCGATTGCACTCTCGAAACTTACCACTCGATCTCGATTCCTCATAGGATAAACAATTCCGCGAAGAAATGGAAGTTTATTATATTCTTAAACGATTATTGATAGTTCTTCACGTTAATCTCGCTCTGTGCATCGGAATGGACGGTGAGAAAATATTATTTCGTTTCTATTCAATTTTATCAGTGTACATAAACGATATCGTTAATAATCTTATCTGAACGCACTTTTTCATCGATAGAAATAATTTCGAGCGTGGCGATGCTGGCGCAAAGACCAACAAGGATTGTCGGAGGAAAAGACGCGGAGAAAGGGTTGCATCCTTGGCAGGTTTCGGTGCATTGGGGTGACCGAGCACGAAAAATTCCATCGAGACACATCTGCGGCGGTAGTTTAGTGACAGCTGGATGGATTTTAACTGCGGGACATTGCAAAACTCTGGCACCTGCAATAGGAGAATTTCACATCTTTGTTGGGAAATATAAATTGGAGGCTGTTGAAGAAACCGAGCAAAGTAGATTAGTGAATAGAGTATTCGTTCATCCACAATACGATGGGTGAGTTTTACAATTAGGCTGACAAATTTTTCTTCGTTTATGGGAAATCTGAAAACTGACACTATGCAAAAATATTCAAAGTATTTTACTTAAGTTGCATTATTTTAATTGTGTCTATAAAAATATAAATTTGTATGAATATTCATAGCGCATTTGTAAGTTACAATTATGTTTTTAAAATTAAAATACTAATTTACTTAATATTTTTAGGACCATAGGACCGTACGACATTGCACTGATGCAAGTGGAATATCCACTCGAGTTAAATCCTTTTGTTTCAACCGTTTCTTTACCGTATCCAGATACTATTCCTACTGGAGAGGCGATGTTAACTGGCTGGGGAAGTATCGGAAGGACTCGTGTTCACGAAAAGCCTGAAAACCTTCAAGCAGCTATACTACCGATCATCGATTACGATGTGTGCATGCAAGCAGTAGCTAAATCATTAAAGCCGAAGGAAAAGAATCCTCTACATCCGACGAATATTTGTACAGGACCTTTGAACGGCAGCCTGTCTGCTTGCAAAGTACTTTTAAATAATCTTTAACCCAGCATTATTTTGCAATTGAATTGTTAATAAATAATCATTAATAATATAATCATTATCAATTAATAATATAATTGTATCAATAAACCTAGCACGTACTATATTTGAATTTTCAAACTTTCAGATTTTCTATCTTCTGAATTTCCAATTTTTCGAATTCTCTAACTTTCAAATTCCCAAACATTCGGATTTTTTATCTTCCACGATTCCGAACATTCAAACCTTTTTACCTTCCGATCTTGCAAATTTGTCAATTTTCTAACGTACAAATTTCTTATTTTCAGGGTGATTCGGGAGGACCATTAGTCACGAGAAACGGGTTTGGCGAAGCAGAAGTGGTGGGAGTCGTTTCATGGGGTTTATTCCCGTGCGGCGGAAAGAACGCGCCCTCCGTCTACACGAGAGTGTCCGCCTTCGTCACGTGGATCAGTATGATCATGTTAAATTATTCTTAAATGATACCGACAGATCGTTATTGCTCATTTGTTTTATTCAATAAATAATCATTCGTTAATTATCACTCGTCTTATCCGCTAATAATTACAATACACAGATACACCGTACACACAATAACCGATATAAAGTTGTATTTATACAATTACGCCACGAGTCAATGGTTACAACGATTTGCAAGCTTCCGTAACGACCATGACCGCGGCCAACGCTTCCTTAGCTGTCGGAATTATATAATGAGCTGGTAAAACGAAGCCATATTTTCCAGTGTCTTTCAATTCTATCGTGTAAGTGTATTTCATTTTCAAAATAGCTTTGGCCCAATCATCGGAGCCACCAGAAGCTGCATAGAGGGTAGTAGCACTGTTTCCAACCGTGTAAACGCTGTTGGCACCCCCTGCTTTTTTCATCGCTGCCGCTACTTGTCTGCCAACGTTTTCAAGATCAGCATAATCAGGTGGAACGCGTTTGTCGTAACCCCATGGGTACAAAATGTATTGGCCATAACTGTGGAATGTTAGATATGCCTAAAAAATAAAAGCAATTGCAAATCAAACGATTAATCAAATACTAAGAGGATACTTTAAAAAATGTAGTGTTCGAAATTTGAAATTGAACATTTTTTTAAGATATTCTTATGGTCAAAAGACCGCTCATAATTATTCGAACGACCACGAAAGGTGATGAACATCGCTTAGATAAATTCAAAGCACGTAAAATTTTTAACCAATATGTAATACGATAAAAACCGTGGTCATTGTAGAATAGAAGCAAAAGAGGATATAATAGGTGTATTGTTCGAATAATTGTGAGCTGTGCTATATCTAGCGAATGGTGTACTGAAAATTCAACTGACTTTAAAATTAGCAGCGCTAGCTTCGAAAAAGTATCGAATGGCGTTGGTTTCCGGTTCAGAGAACGGTCCAGAGCCTGCATAAATTTCACGACAAGGATCTTTGCTAGTTCCTAAGCCACCCCACCGATAACCAAAGTTCCGATTAAGATCGACTCCGGTGCACAGACTACCAACAGATCTTCTCCTGTTCTTTCTCCATAAACGGTCTCTCGTGAACGTGTGCTCGTACCTATGAAACCACGTAAAAGGTTACGAAAAATATATAAGACATTCTAATAATGTTCTATAAATATACACTTTATAATATTAATAGAAACATACCCATCAGGATTTACCACCGGAAGAATATAATAATCAGCCTCGAGATCCTCGCTATTTTCAACCAAGTGATTGATAATGTAAGTCACTGCCGCTGGTGAGATCCATTCTCGAGCATGGATGCCTCCATCGATCCACAATGCTGGGGCGTTTGCTTTTCCATTGCTGATTCTTAAAACCTACATATCACACGTTATTTCTTCTCTTCGGTATTCGTAGTTTTAAATTATTTTCAATAACAACGTTATTTATTTTTTACAAAAATATAATGCCAAATCAAATGCCAACAATGCAACAGCTCTTGAGGATAAAGAAATAATTATCTTCTAGATCGTACATTCTGAATTTATCATCGTTTTATTACACTGTCAAAGGACTGAGATTATAACTTGAAAATCTTTGTATTTTATCATACCTTAAGAGGTCTGCCCTCGACAGAATTACCAATGCTGACAACAGAACAAACGTCGGGAAAAGTTTCAGCGAGGTAATCAAGGTATCCATGGATGTCCTCGAGTCGATGATAACTGGTCCATTCCATTCGATGACCTGACACGTATACCTTCAAGATTATTCAGAGGTTGCACGTTCGGTGTCCTTAAACGACACATGATAATATTCCGCTCCGTGGATTCAGAGACGAATAAGCAAATAATATATGACAGTTTTATATCGAAAGAATAAATGAATAGGTGATTTAAAAAAAATAATTAGGAGGAACAGTTCTGAATCAACGAAGCGGATTATACGCGCAAGAAGCTCACCCCTGAAACGCCAAGGACCACCGATACCGTGCACGCTAGCTACAGGATAACGAAGAGGACGAGGACGTGAATATCTATTTGGCACCCTAATCGCGACTCCCTGCCACCAAGCGGAACGAGCTAAAAAATTACCCAGAAGCTGAATATTCAGTGGCGTACTTCTGCCTGTTAGTTGTAATCATAGCCAGGAATTGACGTAGTCTAAACTAGAAAAATCTTATTAGAGATTTCATCTCATCAAAAGAATATCAAACTCTTTGCTTTATGGTGTTTTATTAGTACAGACATACATTGACTCATGAAGGTAAAATATTAGAATATTAAAATAGAATATTAAAATATTAAAGAAAGAAACTTTTTATTTTGATATGTTAGCCGTTCTGAAGATAGTATATAACAATAAGGTTTAATAATGAAAATTTTATCAGATATAACTTTATAAATATATTTAGAAAAGATTTCTATATCATTCGATTCGAAAGCACTTCAATGAGATATAATTGTTAGTATATACCAAGAAATATCTGCCTAGTAATAATTTACGTATCGCGTCAGGTTGGATTCATTCGCGATTCCAGTCGAATCACCAAGACTCTCGTTTCTCGCTGTTTCGAATGACTTTCGAACCGGGCCGATTGCCAACGCGTATTCCAACGAACTAGCTGGAAACGCGTAACGGTACCGTGATTGAAACAACAAAATTGTTCGTGAAAACGTGCGGTCACACGTGTGTTGCAGATGCACGCACACTAATGTAGACACACTCGAGCACATGTAACTGTTAATGTTAATCAGCATTGTCGATGGTGTTGAAACTGGGTTAACCGGTTAAATCGCGACGAGGACGATAACCTCGTACATTCTTATCGGAAATAACCTGTGGTTAACAATTTTTAAAGAACCTCATTTCTAAATCCAAATGTGCTCGATCATAATCGTAGATCATTAACACAAGAAGATATTAAAATGTTGTTAGACGAATTGAAATTTCACTCGGCCAAATTGACTCGGAACGTCTAACGATGATTCGACTTGATAAAATTCACTTATCTAAATCACTTTCGAACCGATGGCCGTGTAGGGACGATTTGTTCTTGGCTTTCTTCGCTGCGTGACTCGACTGCGTGATAACGCTTTAAACGAGTTGCCGCAGCGTCGCCATTCGTGTCAGTGGAACGGGTAAAATAACAAGTGAAACATCGTTTCACTGTCAAATGTAACGACGCTTCTTTTTCACGTCGACCATGTCGGATCATTAAAACGTCTTAGTTGATGAAGTTCAGGCTCATTGTACGGAAAGTGGAGAATAGAGGAGAGAATATTAAGCGAGGAAAGCATGAAACCGGAAGCAAACCGAAGTATAGTAAAGGAATTTGCTATAAATACAAGAATAATGGTAAAAAGTTGCTACAAACCTTTGCGACCTTCCAGTTCTTCCATCTCTTCCTCGGAAAGCGATGGATTCTCTTCGTCTATTGCTTTCTGCAAATCCTCGATCACTACATGATATCGTAAATCTTTTTGTCCCAAGTAGCGAGACACTCTTGAGATTTCTTCCGAACGAACCATTACGTCCACTGCTGTGTCATTCCCAGTCCATAACGAGAGTACTATAAGAGGAACAAAAATAAAACGTCAATTGTATCTCTGTATCTATCTTAACACTTTTTAAAGACGTTTCATTTTTGGATGAGAGTTTCTAATAAGAAAGTTAAATATTTAGTAATGATTTCTTTGATCGATTCAGCGATTTGCATTGTATTCGCTTGGAACATAAATTCGTACTATTCTTTTACATTTTTTATATTAATACATGTAATATATATGTATATTATGAGTTTATGTCATAACCCAATGGATTAATCCTGAATTGGCGTGATAAAATCATTAGCAAATAAAAGATATGATAAGGAAACAATTAATCAGCAAAATTTTTAAGAATACCAGAGGCAACTAATGAGAAGTATAACATTTTAATATTAAGAAAATATATATATATATCTATCAATTGATAATTAATTTGGAGCTTTTGCTTCTACTGTTAAATATTCAGAAAATCTATTAATTCCTAATTGTAGAAACAGAAGAAATTCTAAAAATGAATGAATCCTTAAAAAATTCCTTTCATTCCCAACTTAAAAAATTTCGATTCTTAAATCAAACCTACAATTTAAAATCTCTATAATTTTGAATGTAAAGTGTCCTATTATCAAATCCATCGAAATAAATAATTTCTCTCGTGTGTATCGATAACATAAATTCTTCTAATTTACGGACATCCAGCCTCCTGACAGTCCATGGTCACGTTCGATATCAAGTCCTTCTGCGCCTCGGATGCCTGAATCCTCCAAACCTGTGCGCCATCGTATGTTACCTTCGCGTCCCTCACTCGAACCGCCCTTTGAATCGTTTTCGAATTTTCTGCGGCAGGTTCATCTACGATCTCGATCCAGTCTGGAATAACAAATTCTCGTTTTTGACGATCGAGCACCGCCGCTTCAGCGACAAGAACAACGAAGAGAAGAGACGCAAACGCGATGAAACGCGCACTGTGGCATTCACCGGTCCTCTTCATCGTGCACAACTATTCTTGGATCGACAATGGTCCCTGCTTTTATAATATTCGAGCCGGTCGACGATCGGGAATAACGGGACTTAACGAGCGTACCTCGAAGCGCTTCAATCGCCAGGTTCGGGGATCTTTGACCCCGCGAAAAGTTTGTTTCGCACGGTGGTTGACAAATTTCGAAATTTATTTCGAGGTTTCTCAATGTCCTTCTTTTGATTAAATTTTGTTTTATCGGACATTATTACCGTTATTGTTTGATACAATTATCGATTGATTGATATTTTATAGATATCAGTAGCTGTGAGATTGTGAAAGGTTTGAGGGATTCAGAGGAAAGATAAGATTGTTTCTAGTAAAGAGAAAGTTATTTTTAAACTTGTTTCGATCAAAATTGAGTTTGTTAAGGGATGTATTTCTTGGTGAAAGAAATTGAATTTATTATTTGATATAACTACTTGATATACTTTAAGTTGATATACTTGATGTACTTTTACATAGTTAGAAATAATGGAATGCTCGAGGGTCTCAGAGTTAAGACAAATTTTCTTTTAATTTATAGGCAGAACGAACTCAGTGGGTAAATGAAAATTGACGTTAGAATCACTAAATGATAGAAGAAATAAGCGGAGACTCTAATTTCTTATTTTTGTATTTATAAAAACACGCACGTCTTAATGAAATAAAGAGAAACTATTAGAACTTTCAATGCATCTAATTAACGATGTTGACGATGCTTAGTTCTTTCAAAGTATTAGTTAGAGTATTAGGTTCATTAGTATTTCAGACAAAATTTGCGTAGTTTCAACGTGAACATTCCGCGCAAGCGTCCCTAGGTGTTTCTTTAGTCTCCGCGCGGTGCTTCTGCTTGCATTTAACCGAGCGTCCGAGTTGAACGATGAAGCAGAAACTATCAGAGAATTCGAAGCATTCTGGATGGAATCGTACGGCCATGAAGATCTTGCTGGCGATAGCCTGTCTGGTTGCATTGGCTGCTACTTTAGAGGTACCATTTCGTGTAAAACGACGGAAATATTGCGGATTCAACTGTGTTTTTCTGCATACCGTTATCTGAACGACGTTAAAGAAATCGTGGCGAGAGTTTGGCGTTGTGTTCTTGATCGCGAAGAAAAAATACGGAGAAACAACAAGGAATTTTTGTGAAATAAAATTCTAATAGAATTTGAAAGAAATATGATAAAATGTGTATAAATTCCGATATGTGAATAAACTTTACGTGGTGATAATTGTCTGATAAAATTCGAAAGATGTATTTTTACAGAGAAGTAGATTACGAAAAGGGGATAAAAAGAAGATCGAAGTATAGATCGCTAGCATTTTATAGTCATATAGGATGTATAAGGTTTCTTTCATCCACTTAATACCATTGTACGTCGGATTCTCGACGATTCTCAGCGAGAACGGTGCGGTTTGTGAAACGCAAGTTTACACGCGTGAAAGTCGTGGAAATTGAGAATTTATCGGCATAATGTGCCAGAACTATTCACGATACCATTGTGCCACTATTTACCCTATCCTTTTCCCTTTTGTAAAAAATCGTTTGATTCGCTAACTACTATCATTTTCAATTCGATTCATTTTACGCGAATAAACTTTCCATTTGGCAGATGATATATTTGATTTAACGGCGATTTGAAGTTTCTATATTTTATATTATTTTCACAATGAAAGTATATCTTAGTTCGTATCATAAAAGGAAATATTCATATTTTAACTAATAATATTAATTATATTTATATTAATAAAATGTATTCTTATAGTAATTTTTATTTTTCCTGTAATTTTGTGTATTTTTATAACTTTTATATAAAAATAATCGGCCCATAAATTAAGATAGAAATTTTTAGAATCGAGACTTCTGGATTTGGAATTATATCATCGATTTTCATTTCTCTACACTAATTTCCAAAATTTTATGTCAGAATACTGAGAATCTCACCGTCACTGATCAAGTGTACTTGGACATCATGATAGACGATCATCCAGCAGGAAGAATCGTTATAGGACTGTTCGGCGATGTCGTGCCTAAGACCACAAAGAATTTCATCACTTTAGCCACTGATGGGGTAGGAGGGAAAACGTACAAGGGTAGTCGGTTTCATCGAGTAATTAAGAAGTTTATGATACAAGGTAACCAAAATTGAGGTCAAAGAATTATATTCGGTTTACAGCTGGGTAACTTTAGTTCACAATTTGATAACTTGGTCATCTTTTAGGTGGAGATATAGAGAATGACGATGGCACTGGATCGATCAGCGTCTATGGAAAATACTTCGACGATGAGAATTTTGTCCTTGGCCATAATCGGCCCATGTATGTCAGTATGGCAAATGCTGGAAAGAATACGAATGGTTGTCAATTCTTTATTACAACTGTTCCCACACCGTGGCTAGATGGAAAACACACTGTATTTGGAAAGGTAACGCAATAAACTGCGAATGTTTATGCAAAGTTATATTCTTATGAAGACAGCTCAGGAAATAGAACCTGAGCATTCATTTCATCCACTAAATGTTCTTCAGCATTGCGTGCAGTTTTGTATTTTTAAATTTCCCATAAGCCCATAAATATCCACAACAATATAAGTAAGGAAAAATATATATATTTACAGAATTGTGATTTATATTTTTACGTCGATAGGTAATCGAAGGGGAAGATGTAGTTTTTAAGATCGAACAGATGAAAACCGACGCTGATGATATACCGATTAAACATGTGGTTGTCTTCGAATGTGGGTCTATTCCTACCTCGTATCCATTTAAAGTGGATGATAACGTTTACAAGTAAATCGATAAATTGTTATAAGATATTGAGCATTAGTTATTTCTAAAGTAGGTATAATTTTCTATTGAATTAACTGGATTTTGGTAGTAATTAACCAATTAACAAAGTAAAATCTTACAGTAGATAATGTTTAATTATTTACTATGAATTTTGTATTTTTTTTTTTTTAGAATTGTATAAATTGTTCTTATATATGAATGCTGAAATATTACAATGTGTGAACGAGAGTATGGTAGAAAGTAAAAACACATAAAGGGCATGTAAGCTAAAAAAAAGTATGAAGTATTATAGATACGCTACTTTATGTTCCTCGGTATTAGTTTCTCAACAAACTTTTAATTACATACTTTATTATATTTTTAAGCCAGTGTTATTTAGTTTCTTTCCTGAGATAAAAATGATTGGTTTCTTACCTCGTAAAATATACGTAACCCTATATGCACTATTAAGTATATAAATATAATTTCAAGTAAGTACAATTTTATTAAACATATACATCGAATGTGAACAATAAATTCTAATTTATTCTTTCTTTAATTTTCAGTATTTGGGCGTGGATAAAAGCGACGTGTGTGCCACTGAGTTTCAGCTTCTCTATTCTCGCCTTTTTCCACTGGGTCATGAAGAAATTAGATGTTGATTAATTCTGTAATATATATTATACAAACTTTGAAAGTTTTTAATCACGACCATAATTCAAAGAATCACGCCATCAGAAGTGGCTAACGGCGATAAAAACTCCATATCATAATTTTATGATCATTAAAAGAAGAAGAAAATGAGAAAACAAAAATATTAACTTGAAACAAACGTATAAAATTAAATCAGGCTGCAAGGGTCTTCAGATTGCAAATTTTAAAATTACATTTGTTTCCCAAATTTCTATCAATCGTTTGCTAATAATGTATGCCAAAAATAAGATCAGATTAGACACGCTATTTCATCTTGTATTGCGTGATGATTATGATGATGATAATGATGCTTATCATTATCGTGATGGTTTTTTATTCAATTTCAATTCAATTCATTCAACTCGGCACAGACAACGAACTGCTATTGCCATCTATCCGTCAATCGATGACACTAATCGGTTACATTTGCAATTAAAAAATATGCAAATTTCCAGCTAACTTGAGTGACTCATTTTCCTTACCGAATACCTCTATCAGTCTGTGATCCTATTACCACCGGGGCTCCTCCGAGAATAATAGGAACACAGCTGAACTATGGTCTAAAGTAAGTCTATTGTTAGCTCCATTCATCTTCCACGATTTTCTATCCTTACCTAAAACCTGCACCATAATCCTAACTTCCTACTAATATCTAAGCAAAATAATAAGATCAAAATTAAGATACGAATTGAAGTTAACGTTCTACCATCGCTGTGTTTCTCTTACAATCTCGCTTTCTTGTCCAATACCTCCATCGTCCTTCTGCGTTTCTGTTAACATCAGAAGACAATCACAGAAGCCAAAGTAACTATAGATCAAAATTGGTATTTCACTCTCTGTATCCTTGTTGCGAAATTTATACTTCTTGCCTAAAAGCTCTATTGCAGTTCTATATCTCTGATCACTTCAGCGATCTTCAGCTGGATTACATATTTAGAAGAGGTGACAGAGATGTTTTGTAGTCTCTCGTTTTATAGTCTTTCTTGTCTAAATTAAAGCTGGATTAGAAGAGGATCAAGGATGGAGTAAAATAGAATTTGTTTAGGAACAAAAATATTCATACGTCTACGAGCTATGTAAAATGTTAATTAATTCAGTTGGATTAATATTTGCGAAGAAACGTATAGTTCTGTAATACATAATAATCAAATTACTAATATTTATGCAATTCCATATTTTTATACATATTATAAATAAAGAAACAGGGTTTGAATAAAAATTTGTTTTATCCGCTGCATATTATAATAAATAGTTTATCTCAGATATTTTGCGTATTTTAACACAAACGTCCACAGTCTAATAATAATAGATAATATATCTTGATAATCTCATATCGCGCGAGACGCGCACAAATTCCTAAACTAAAATTCCTTCGGCGATTGCGAACGCAAAATTCGCAAACCAACCTTTGAACCCGGCGATTAAAAATTTCAGTAGAAATTAATTTCAATCTAAACGTAACGCCAGGCAAACTGAGGTAGAGAACAAGTAATATCTATGATAATTATCGAACGATCGATATCTTGTTTTCTGAATTAACTCAAGTAAAAGATCTCCTGTAAAGTATTTAACATTTAAAAAGTATTTAAACATTAAAGAACTTGTTTACTCCATAGAAGAAAAAGAAAAGTTCGTAAACGTTTTCACGACGCAACAATTGCTCGAAGATACCCCAGATATTCGAAGTTGTTCAAACTACGCTACTGCGAGGGAAATGACGCAAAGGAAGTACGCAGGCGCGGATAGTCGACGCCAGAGACGGGCGTAGAAAGGTGGCTCAGTGAGTGTCGAGCCGGCGTTGATCGCCGTTCGTCACCGGATACGTATTAGTGACTCCTACACCAACGAATGCGTCACAACTACTTCTTCGAAACGCCTCATGGGCGTTTAACCTAAATCCACACCGTTTTGGCGAAAATAAAAACATTATATATATATATATATATATCAACGTATATAGAATCAAGTGCATGTTACTGATATCATCGTCAATGAGAAAAAGTTGACAGAGAAAGTGTGACAACGTGTGATTTCGCGCGTGTTGAAGCCGGAAGGCGTATGTATGTTGCTCTCCTGGAAGTTCGATCGACGGGAAGACAGCTGGGAGAGAAATCGTGCAGAGGGATGCTTTGAAATACCGGCAGAGTGGTTTCATTCAAGGTGAGCCTGTTTCTCCACGGTTCCTTTCTTGTGCCTTGTTATTCACCGACTGCAGTCAGCTGACTGCGTTCAGTGTGCTTGCTGGTGAATGTGTGTGTTGATATACACGTATTCCGGGAGTAAAGTCATGGCTGTATGGTATGTTCAACCCGCAGAAAATACATTAAAGGGAAGAAAACATGGCTATAGGTGCGTGGACGGTGACAGGGTACTTTGGAGCGAATTTTTGGAACACGGAATGCTTTGAAAGGTGGAAAGATGGATTTGAAACGTGGTCGAAGTTACACGAGAGTTAAGAAAGGGGACTGACACTTATATACTGTTCATTGTGTCGGGAAGAAAATTCGAGTATTAGGTGTTTTCGGGTCCTTATTGGAAAATTGTCTGTGTAAATTTTCGAACATGACGAACTGGTAATCATTTTAATAGGAAATAGCAAATATTTCGTAATTTATAGATTCGAGAATACGTAGAGGTGTTTACACTAGCTACGAACGATATTTGTATATTATCGTATTTGTTTATATCGTTCACATAGTATAGTAATTAATCAGCTTCAATTACATTGAATTTAAAGCTCGTATCATTTAGTGTTTTCATACAACTACAGAAATTTGGTACTATGAAAATGAAAAGAACGTTTCAAAATTTTGCAAATATTTTTTAGAGTCACTGTATATGAATGAAAAGTAGATGTAATAAACTGTTAAAGAATGGATAAATCAGATACTACGACGACTCACTGCTGTTATGTTTAGCTTCAACAAAAATTCTTTTAAATAATCTGACCATTGTTTCTTTATTCAAACAAACAAATCTTGAAACTTAACATTCCTTACATTCCTTCGAGACCAAAAGCGTTTATTACGTCAGAATTCCGTCGTATCCAGAAGTTTTCCGTTTCTTACTGAGTTCAATAAAAATTCCAAAAAATAAGTAGAAGGTACGTTGTGTGTAACGCGAGGCACGAGGAACCTGACCGTTCCACGCGGTTGAAACGTGAATCGTTCGTAAAGCAGTCGATGTTTCACTGGTTTGCGATTTGCCAGAGATACGGGTACGCTGAAAGATCGTAACAAGCGTTTACGAAACACGTGCATCGATCTGTTTATTCCAAAGCATGGTTCCAAACTAGGAATAGGAGAACATGACAGCGAGAGCAAATATTTCGATCGATTGATAACAATTGACGACTGTTTCAAGTCACGATAAGGATGAATCATATCGTACACGATCTATTTGTTCCTTCCTGTCTTCCTAACGAATTTACATTCGTCCTTGTCGATGTAACCGATAATGAATACTGTCATCAACTCGAAATTACAGACAATTACAGCGTCAACCATGTGTTTTTCGCGCGGCTTAACGTTATATAGAGATTGGAAAATAATTTGCGAAACAGAATAACTTGCATTTTCCTCTGAAACGCCACTTACCGAAATTGAATCCTTCATTTCCAAACTGTGAATATTCAGATTAAAAAGATTTCCTCTTCTTTAAAAAGTTGTTCTATTAAAATCGAATCTTCTATTTGTAGAACATAAACGCCGAAATTAAGAAGAAATTTTTCTTCATAAGATTAATATAAAAAAAATTACGTCGTCTGTTAAATTGGAGATAAAAAGAAATTAATTTTATTCCTCTGAAATTCGTCTAGAAAATTTCCTAATATAATAATGATAGGAAAATAACGATAGTGTAACAGAAGAAGTAAAAAATCATTGTTAATTTAAAATGAAATAGAATTAATAAAAAAAAAAATAACGCAAATTTAGATAAGACGTTTAGGCATTGTTTAAACGATGTCGTTGCTTATCAAATTATCAATAAATTCAACGCGAATTATATGTATTCTGAAAGCGTAACGAGCATCGTGCACTCCCTTAATCAAGACCTTTCATATCGCGTGTGGCACGCATCTACGCAGAAACTTGCTGCACGCAATGTGCACGCGTTTCTTTGTAAAAGGGTGTCCAAGAAGCGTAATAAAGTTTAACGGTTGCGAATCAAAACCCGAGTTTCTTTTAAACGACAGACAAGTAATTATTCTAAGAAGACTCAGTACGCGTTGTGTGGTCGTTTATTACATTTTTTAATGTATCCTTGATGTTTCATGAGAAATTTTTAATACCCGTTAATACGTATTTTGCATTAATTAGACGAGTAACATTTAATGAAATAGGGGCGATGGTTTTCCTTTTTCCGTTTCCTTATCATGTTTAGAAGTTAATGAATGTTTCTATGGAGAGAGAACAACAGTTGACACGTGTGTTCATTCAGAAACGATTCAGCCTGTCTAGAGTAACAGAATGCTGTGCGTTTTCAATAAAAGCTGAGTAGGTCTCACTCCTAGAATACTGAGAGCTAAAATTATCGAGATACCACGATGCTTTTGTCATCGATATTGATTCGTAGTGTACTGACGAATACTTATTCTGCGATTGCAGTAACTTTCTTACAACTAACACTTTTATATCAGTCAGCATTTTATTTTAACAAAATTGAAACAGCTACTTCGGTAATATAAATTAAATAATTTCAGTACGGTACAAATACTTTAACAAAATTAAATTAATTTTGTATTAAAATTTAAATTGCACAATTTTAGTGCAGTCTGTGAATTTGATACGGAACTCTTGCTAATGTCGTATCACCGTATTATCTATTTGCCAACTGGCAATCAGTATGATGGTCATTCGCGATCAATGTGATTACTGTCAGAAAAATTTGAAAGCAAACATTTAACTCTAGGATCTAGAGATTATTTTGAACCGGATAGTAGCGGGTTTGATGATTACGAACAATAAAACACAGCTCTTTTGTACAATTGAATTAATACGTAAACTGCGCATTTTTATGAAACTTCGATGAATCTGATTTTAAAAAGTGCGACTTAAATAGATTATTCCATCCATTAAATATTCCAATGAGCGCTCTACTTTCCATATTTTATATAACAAGCACAGCTATCATTTCATTTGTGTAGCATTTCTCGAACCGGTTTAGTAAGGACAAAACGACACGCGACTGATTAAAATACAGTTTCACGTGCCGAGTCGCTTAAGTAACATAAATGTACTTAATGCATAGCGACAGGTGATCGTTCACTTGGACTCTCAAACAACAGGTCCCTCGAATTTCATGTACGTTTTAAGTGATATTTATTTTCTTCTCTTACATTGCTTAATCATGACTGAAGCAGATTAGTTATTCATTCAGATAGAATTACTAACAGTTTGCCTCGTAATATTGAGTCATGCTCATGACTGTCTAACTTGATAAAGAAAGATCGTATTTTTAA